TTAAGAGAAAACGAAGAAACTCCATTAATGAGCCGTGAAACTTAACGAAAAATTTTATGGGGCCTAAAATTTCATTTTGTCAAACGCTGTAGGCAATCAATTTTAATTGTCCTGACGTAGGCGTTATTTACGAAATATTAAAGAGTTTAGAGCCGCTAAAAAAAAGATATACTATCTCGATGAAACGTGGATGAATGCTGGACACACGGTATCTAAGATATGGCAAGGTACTTCTGTAACTAGTCATTGCCAAGCTTTTATAGAGGGATTATCTACAGGTTTAAAAGCACCATCAGGTAAAGGACAGCGCCTAATTGTTACCCAAGTGACAATGGATTTTTGGAAAATAGCGCTCTTGTGTTTATATCGAAAAAAACAGGAGACTACCACGAGGAGATGAATGCGGAATGCTTTGAAAAATGGTTTACTGAAGTATTACAACGTGTAGAACGAAATTCAGTGATTGTACTAGATAACGCTTCTTATCACAGTCGACGCGTTGAACGCATTCCGATAATGTCCAGTAGGAAAGCGGATATGCAAACCTGGCTGCGGGATAAAGCAATAACATTTACTGAGGAGATGCCTAAAGTCGAATTAATGGACCTAATAAAGGAACAATGTTGCCGACACAATGGCTCGTGATCGTGGTATTACGGTACTAAGACTTCCCCCTTATCACTGCGCAAGTAAAAGGGTTTGTAGCTCGAGAAAATAAAACTTTTAAAATAGCCGACGTTCAAAGTTTATTAAAAACCGGTATAGAACATATAAAACCTGAACATTGGCAGAATGCTATTTCCCATGTAATTAAGGAAGAAAATAATATGTGGCGCTTGGATGGTATGATCGAAACGGTAGTTGAACCTTTAGTCATAACTTTAAGTTCCGACGATAAAGACGATTCCAGTGATAGTTCTGCAGAATCAATGGATTACGAAACTTTATAGATTTAGAATTCAAGTGATACCAAGCTTAATTTACATATTTTTATAATAAACAAAATACAATTATAAACATAGATGAATTATTATAACAAAAATAGATAACCAACCTACTTTTATCTAGTAATATTCACAAATACCCATTTAATTTGCCAATATAGTGTTTCTGCGACACTGAAAGAGTGCATTTTGATATGATAACGATACCTTTTGCAGTTTTAAGGGGCAGCCACCTTCAATATTTTGTTCTAGTATAATACCCCATTTAATTTTCCGATAGTGTTTCTACGCCACTGGCATAATATTAACATATTTTAACAATAAACAAAACAAAATTATAAACATAAATGATTATTACTACAAAAATAGATAACCAATCTACTTTCATATAATATTATTTACTATTACCGCATTTAATTTGCCAATAGTTTTTATACGCCACTGGCGTAATTCATTTTGGCAATAAACATGCATTTATGACTAGTTGGCACGTGATACCGATAACTTCTGCAGTTTTAAGCGCGTGATTCCATTCATTATGCTCTGGTATAGTATTATTGTTGTACGTGAACAGGGAGGAATCACCTTCTTCAATATTTTGTCCGAGTATAGAAAGAATTTTGTGTAATATTCCAAAATAAACTACCAATAAAACAAGATACAAATAAATTGCAAAAAAACCTGTTGAAATTGGGAGAATAATATCAGATTACTGATCTAAAATATCACTGCAGCACAGCATTAAAAGCTACTTCTTTAATAATAATTTCTTAATAAAAAAGCCTAAACTTGATTGGAAAAATAAACAGAAGCCCCACGTTGGGCGCCATTATGTTAAGAATGATTTTATAGCGTAGGCCCAATTAAGAGCAAACCGGACCTCCTGGATAAAAAAATGTATTTATATGCGCGCCACTGGGAATACTTCGTGATATTATGTGTCTTGAGAATATTCAGAGCTTTAAATTTGTGCAACGATAAGGCAGCATCTAGTCGGTGGAGTGTATGGGAGGAATGTGTCAGTTGAATGAATAAGAAGGGGGTAGGGTATGTAAATGGTGGCATACTAAGCACAAGGGGCTACAGTGCTGCCATGCTTGAACTCCACAGTAGGGGAGGCTGGAAGCCAAGGCTCCTTAGGTGGATGGGGAACCATCAGGAGGGAAGGCAGAGGAATAGCTGAAACAGCGAGTAAAAAAGTTGAAATAAGAACATCAAATAACACTCCTGTAAAAAGATAAAATTATGAACAGAATATACAGGGTGTCCCAATGAAAAGTAGCTCATTTCCATGGCTTATATGTGTTATTTTGCTATAAGTTATGCTTCAGTGACACAGAAATTGTGTATTACTTATACAGGGTGTTTTTTAAAATCTCCTCTTTTAAATTCACCGTAACCAAATTGTATCAAATGGAAACGGGCTACTTTTTATTAGGACACCCTGTATTATGAAAATGTATAAATGCTTTATAAAATTTAACCTACAAACTACAAAAAAGATTTAAAAATATAACTTTTTGGTTAATTTAGTTGGTTCATTTGTTGTTAGAAAAACCGTTCTCCGCCTATGATATTCGGTAGATTAAAATTTCTAAGAGCAGATATAAAAATAATTAAGTAATTTTATTAACAAAAAGTGACTGCATTAGTCATAATATCCGGGTATAAATTAATCAGACTAATAGACGAAAATTGTTCTAATCAAGATATATGACAAAGGGCATATATGCACTTACATTTTATTTGCGTTAGAGTTTATTGACATAATGTAGTATTTGTAATACCTAATTTACTGCTATAGACATAATGTAGGTTATTTTTCGACAATGTTATATACAACTACATGCTTTTGAGTTATATAACGCTGCATTTTTAGAAAGAAAAAAGAAAATAATTTCTAAATATCTAAAAATATACAGAGTGTTTCATATGCAACAACAAAGATGCTGTTAATTTGAAAAAGGTTATGCTCATTGTCCGTTGCAACTCCAGAAAGTTGTAGTACAAAATTGAAATCTATCAAAAAAAAAAAAATAAAAAAATAAGAAATTGTTTAGTTTTCCTACTTAAATTGTATTGGTTAGAGTGATAGAGTGTAGGTAAATGACGTATGATATTTAGGGATATGACAGAAAAATGTCCGCCTTTAATCAAACATTGACGGATCCGAGAGTTTGTCTATACAAGGTGTTGCAAAAAACATGGGCCAGAGTCAGAGTGGAAATGACGTATGACAGCGATATAATAGAAGAATGTTCGCCTTTAATCAAAAATTGACGGGTCTTAGCGTTTGTCTAAAATGTTAACGCATTTTCCGATAATGACCCTGTTTTGATGTCGTCTGGTAACCTATGCAGGGTGTTCCAAAAAGCATGGGTTAGAGTCAGAGTGGAAGGAAATGACGTATGACAGGGATATAATAGAAAAATATCCGCCTTTAATCAAAAATTGACGGGTCCGAGCGTTTGTATAAAATGTTGACGCAGTTTCCGATAATGACTCTGTTTCGATTTCATCTGGCAACCCTGTATACAGGGTATCCCAAAAAACGTGTCATCGTTTGATTGTAGATTCCTCACATAAAAATAAGACCTTTTTTTGTTCATATCAACATAGGTCCGATTCTTCTTCAACTTCCGAGCTACAGGGTGAATGTTATTTTCTAAAATCGAAAAATAAAATTTTAGAAATAAATTATTAAATTAATAAATTCGCAACATATTTTTTAATTCGTTATTATTTCGAAAATGAAAGCAAATTCGAAAATATTCCAAGAATCATTTTTTAATTGAAACTGAATTAAGTTTCAACCGTGTACGTTTGAAAGTTTAAAAAATCAGTGGAGTATCACTTTTTATTTTTATTTCCTTCATGGACCTGTCTGTAACTCCGGTCCTGCAAATCACCTTCATTCAATCAACACATCAGAATATTCCCCTGGTTATATGTTTCTAATTTACTAAATAACATATCAATCTTACTCATAGTTTTTTAGATTTTGGGGAAAAATATTTTATTTTTTTTTATTTTGAAAAATCTTATTTTTTTGTGACGGGAAAAAAGTTTGACATTTTATCTCTCTTGTCAAATAACAAAATGTGTCATTATGAAATTACTTCTTTCCCCGTTTTCCCGGAAAAAAGTACTTTTTTCCCGGATATATATACAGATAAGTAAAGATAGATGTTTTAGAATATTTTTTCAATAATAAAATTAATAAATCGTCGTTTTTTTCGTCACAGAAAAAATACTGTATTATAAACGGGAAAATATTAGATTTTAGCTCAGCTGTACTCAACCTTTTTTCTTTCCGGCCACACAAATCTGTTTGTTATGCTACACGGGCCACAATATTTTTGGGTGATAACTAGAGTTGCCACTTTTTTGAAATGCAAATAAAGGACAATGGGTGACGATAAGGATCCGCTTTAAATATTTTCTAAAAAAAAAAATTACCTACTAATAATCGTGTTTGGGACTGCATAAAAAAGCATAGAGGGCCGCAAGAAAAGTTTGAAGGGCCGCAAAAAAAGTTTGGAGGGCCGCACAAAATAGCTTGGAGGGCCGCATGCGGCCCGCAGGTTAAGTATGGCTGTCTCTAATCTAATACTTTTTTCCCTTGTATAATAAATAACTATTTTTATGTAAGGAATCTACCCTCGAATGTTGGCCCATGTTTTTAGAAATGCCCTGTATTTTTACGTGTTTTTTAAAAATTGGTATTAACTGAATGATATTTGGATTGGTTTCTTCAATTTTCTGGTTAAACCTATGATGCTGGGCTTCTATGTCGCATATTGTCTCGTTCTCTATCCACTGCCCCACAAAATAAACATTAAACTCACTAACTTGCGCATACAAGGGGCAACTTTCCATTATTCAGTTGATCGATTAAAATTCCTATCAAGTACTGATGGTTCTGCCAAAAAAAAAAAAAATGCTCAACATTTTTTTAGATAAGCTCGTGCCGAAAAGTATGTTGATAGTTTCTAATTAAAATAAAAGACCTATGAATCACAGGTATTTATTTTCAACTCGTATTCTCTGTTTTAGGTTTAGTTTGGCACCACCTAAGAACGTCCTTGACCTCAGACTTGACCAGCCCCAAAACAATATCTGGATTTCTTCCGCAAGTGGACGAAATAGCGGAAGATTGGTGCTGTTTATTAAGACAACAACGTTTGGGAGACGGTACCATTTTAGACTTAGAGGATGTAGCAGGAAGACTTGGATTGGAGACATCCTGCGCGTTGGTATTGGGACGTAGGTTGGGATTTTTGCTACCTGGAGGCGAATCGGAGTTAGCAAGGAAGTTGGCCGATGCTATACATAAGAATTTCATCGCTATAAGGCAAGGATTCCTATTTTTTCACATTATACAGTATACCAAAAGAAAACTAGTTTTCTTATTAATATACCGGGTGAATATAAATGATTTTTTTTTTGTGAATGGTTGGCAATTAATTTTAAACATTAGGTTGATAACAGTAATTCAGTGACGTTCACAAAAAAATACATATTTCAGACAAGTATATAGGGTGTTTCATACAGAATGGTAAATATTTTAACCATAGGTTCAGGCTTAAAATATTAATATTTTCTAAATAACACTGGATCAAATGTTATCCACTTCTGAGATACAGGGTGTTAAAGGTAGAATTTATACAGTTTTTGCAATATTTTCGTTATTATTTAATGTATTGAGTTAAAAATTGCTATGATTATACAGGGTGTCCCAATAGTGTGTGGAAGTTCGATATATACTATATTATAGAAAATATCAAACAATGTTATTTACAAAAGTTGTAGACAATATTAATCTGCACATTTCAAAATTATTTTCGATTATACAGAGTGACCCATAACTTCAGAATTGATCAAACCTATGTTTTTTTAAATGGACCACCCTGCCCAGACAGCACACCAAATCCTATGGATATCTACTGAACATCCCAATATCCACTGAATGTCCAGTCCATGGTAGATATATATTTTATATCCATGAGATGTAATTTATAGACATGCAAATGTCTATAAATAATAGTAATTATATAGCAAATTATTAAAAAATTACGCCATTGTGCTCGACATTGTGGCTAATAGTACCGTTCAGATATTTAAAATTAATTTTTTTAAGGTGTATTCAATATCCCATGAACATCCACTAAATATATCAAAGTCTAGGCGCGAACGCAAACCATTGTGGATATCCACTAGATGTTATTTGATTCTGCTTACTAAGTATAGATGGCGATACCACTATCGCATCTACTCATGCTCGACCCGCCGTAATAGAGTTCGATCGAAATTTTTGTCCTACAGACTCCATTAGAGATTGGAGTCGAGAACTTCGATTTATTGCTGAAGAGTCCTAATAAGGATGACTTTCTCCTTAGTGGGCAAAATCAAAGGCAGAGTGTTGAAAATATTTTTTTATCTCTGCTATTTTCTTTCGAAGTTATTCAATAATCATTGGTTACTTCTACTAAAGATACCCATAAAATATTTCTTGAATATCCGAATATCTTCTATATCCTGGGATATAGACGGGCATTTGGTTGGATATCCATATTGGATATATTGAATATCCACAAAATATATTCTGTGGATATCTCTGGGATTTCTTGTATTTTCTGGAAGATACCCATTAGATATTTTGCTGAATATCCATTAGGATATCTTCTATATTCTGGATATAGACGGACATTTGGATATCCATATTAGATCCACAGAATATTTCTGATATCCTGTAGATATATTGGATATCCACAAAAGATATTCTGTGGATATCTCTGGGGTTTGGTGTGTTGTCTGGGTGTATTTAATTGTAAATTTGAATTCCCCTGACTTTGCCCTTCAAGAAAATACCAACATGTATGAGGTTAAACTGGGTATTTTGGAAGTTTAAACCAATTTTATATGAAAATCGTACTAGGTTCAACCCTCTGTATGTTTCAAAACAAACAGTCGAACATCAAAAATTTTTGATGAATCATTTTTAATGATAGTCTACTTTTATAGGAATATACTAATTTTTTCCTAGCGCAACAGACGTGTACAGGGTGAGTCAAAACTCAGATACATGATTTTCTCAATTTTTTTAAATGTAACACCCTGAATTTCATATCACTACTAAAAAGTACTCTAATTATACGTTCGTTTGAGATAAATATTGCCTATCCCTAAACACAACAGTTTAGCGAGATTCTTAGATGAAATGTTAAAAAGTGTTAATTATAACTAAATTCACAATATAATTTGATTTAAACTCCTGTTAAAATATACTGTTTAATCAGTTTATATTTTTAAGGTACCTAGCTACAATTTATTATCAACTGAATTTACTTTCTTTACTTTTAACATTAGGTACACTCTGTATTTCATATCTCTACTAACAGTACTTTAATTATACGTTCGTTTGTCCTTATCCCTAAATACAACAATTTAGAAGATATTTTACATATTTTTATTTTTTAATAGTATCTTGTTGACAGATGATTTACTTATTCCCGTTTCATTTTTCATGATGCGTGTACTGAATAATAATAATTATAATAATAATAATGTTTGGACACTCAATAGATTGAAATTAAGGTTATATTTTTATTTGGTAAGTAACCCTATATAAATTTTGTTTTTTTACTTACTTTTATTTGACTAAAAGTTATGTTAATTTAAGATATTTTTGATATCTTTTAATAAAATATTATTTAAATTGTGTTCACAGTAGAGGGAGTATCGCTTCTTTTCAGGTACCATTTATTTAAAAATGTGTCAGTTTTAATATGGTATTTCCGGTTATACCAGATATAGTCCTGTGAGTAGTCCTCAATTTTGTTATTTTAAATAATTGTTGATACACTAACTAGATGACAAAACATTTTTTTTTCTTTTTTACTAAGTTAGCCACTGTTGAACTATAAGAGCAACTTTAATGAGGCATTCCAACGACCTGTAAAACAATTATGTTTATTTTTAACATCTTGGATGATCAATCTCTATAACTGTCTATATCATTGACCCTATCAAACCACCAGACACACAATGTTGCCATATTATAACCTGTCATTTCAAACGGACAGCCATTTTGTTTGGAATGCCTAGTAGCTGCCGGTGGGAAGGGCCTAAAGGGGTTGCGACATAGCCTTCCACCTTGGACGCTATTTTTATTTGAAATAGTAGTCGCCAAGCCTGCCAATTTATGAAAAATGTATAAGCGGTTTTTTAAATTGTATTCGACATAAAATGTTTAGATTTAATCCATTATTCAAGATTTCACATGTTGTAGGTAGAATAAAACGTATGTCTCAATCCTTTAGATATACCAACCCTTCCCAACCGAGAGCCATTTTGTTTGGAATGCATAACTGTCAGGGCAATTAGGCATTCCAAACAAAATGGCTACCAGTGGGTTTTGACAGGTTATGATACGGCAAAATTATGGCAACCCTGTAGCCCTGGTGATAGATTGATCTTCCATATTTTTCAAAATAAACATAAGCTAATGCCTTGAAGTAAAAATGTAGGTAATTATTTTTTTCTACACCCACATGGATATTAACTTATCTACGCACAGACTACAACACGAAAAAGTATACTATTGCCATTAACTAAACGAATATATTTTATATCCATTCGATGTAGTGAGAACACTGCAAAAAAATAAATCCACCAATCACAGTTGGTAACCTGATGACTATTATTTTTAAAATTTTAAATAAGTGACAATTTTTTAGTTATTAAACTTAAATATACATTAAAATTACTTATTTTTTGTAGAATCGATAAATAGTAGCATTTCTATTTTTATTGATACTATAATTATAAGTAATTTGTTAATTTTAATAAAACTGAAGTCAAAATTCAATTAAGAGTATTACAAAAATTTCCCAAATATGCCGGTGACAGTTTGACAGGCCGTTGGAATGCCTAATAGTATTTTCTTAATTTACTATTTTTTTGTAGAGATACGTATTTTGGTTTGCCAATTTGGAAATTTCTTCAAACGACAGCTTACAAAAACTTAGCAGAAAGCGAAGACACAATATACAAATTGGCTCTAGAGTTGATACAAACTGCCGATGAGGCGACACAAGAAAGTGCCATTTTTCAATCCGTTCTAAAGGCTGATATAGATGACAAAGAAAAGACTGCTGCAATCGTAGATTTTATCGCTGCTGGTAAGTAATGCATTGGACCGTGATAGTCGTAATGTCAAAAGTTCGAAACACGTATTTGTTTCTACCTCGTTTTCAACATAAAACAAGTTCATAACAACGATGTCAGATGTCAGTATTGTAACGTTTATGTATTTCACTATTTTATTTACACACTAATTAATTTATTTATTTATTCTAAAATACTTATGCTAGTTTATATACTTATCACATTTACTTAAAAATTACGTATTCAACGATTTTTTGCACTTGATCCTGCATTTAGTTCATTGCTTTTACAATATAACATTATTCTACAATTTCTGAATGTATTAAAAACCTTTAGAGAAAAAAAACTTTACTGATTTTTTTAAAGATAAACAAAAAGATACATTTCTAAAGTGAGCACAACAAATTATACGAGTATTTCCAGAGGGTGCACAACAAATGAATAAATTTAAAACAAATTCAACGCAAACAAACTATCAATAAATCTGACCACAATTAAAGTTTTGACAACAATGACACAGTTGTCATGGTTACTTTGTTTAAACCATCGAGGTAGAATGAAGTAGAGATGATTATTTTACGACATGACAGATGGAAGCACATCGATGCCTGACTGCATGACGGAAAAATGTAATCAAAATGGCGACTTAGAGTCAATAATTTTATATTTGAAGATTGACGGAATGAAAATGTTTTTATATCATTTAAATGAAGTTATTTAAAAAAAAAATGGCATTTATTTTAATCAAAACTGACTAGCTCCTCTAGCTCGAGTTTAATACATTACGTAAAGGTGTAATGCAAAAGTGCGGACACTTTTAGTATCGTCATAGCATCTTCTATTTATTCTATCTCAATGGTTTGGACAAAATGACGTCACGCTATCACTGTCCACTTGGCAATAAATCTAATGGAAAACACTACATTCGTCCCTATTTCAGGTATTCACACTTTGAAAAACAGCCTGGTTTTCTTGCTGTACCTCGTAGCGAAACATCCAGAATCTCAACAGAAAATCCTCGAAGACGAATCGAAATCGTACCTGAAAGCCTGCATCATGGAAACCTTCCGTATCCTTCCGACAGCCAACTGCTTAGCCAGAGTAACAGAAGAAGACTTAGAACTTTCCGGATACAAAGTGAACGCGGGCAGCGTGCTGATATGTCAGACGGGCGTAGCTTGCAAAAACGAAAAATATTTCGCCAACGCGAACGAATTCAGGCCAGAGCGGTGGCTGGACGACGAAAAACATTCGACGGCCGGTAACGCTACGTTTTTGGTGACCCCATTCGGCGTTGGCAGGAGGATTTGTCCGGGAAAGAGGTTCATCGAGCACGTCTTGCCGATTATTTTAGAAAGCACCGTTCGAAATTTCGAGATAGAGGTGGTCAAGCCGATGGAGTTACAGTTCGAATTTCTGCTGTCTCCTAAAGGACCGACCTCTATGATTTTTAGAGATAGGGGATAAATTTTTTAGTTAATATAAGTATCTAGGAGAAATGTAGAATTTATTAGGCAATCGAATAGATTTTGCTGTTTAAGGCTGAAAGGTAGAATCCTGATAATCGGAACATGAACTGAAAATATTTATAATGTATTATTCTGTCAAGTAAGACGGCGTATTGGTGCCACATAAAGAATATTTTAAGGAATATCAACATTATGAAAAGTCAAAATTTTAAGAAAATAAGTCCAAATTTTTAAAAAATAAAGTCCAAATTTTGATAAAAACGGAGGAAGTGAACAAAAGGACTACGTAACGTTACCTACAATCATATCAGATCTTTGAGAAAGAAAAAGCCAAAATCGTGGGAAAAAGTAAATCTTTTGAGAAAGAGTAAATATTGAGAAAATAAAGGCAAAATTTTGAAAAGGGAAAGTTAACATTTTGAAAAAGTAAAATCAACATTTTTAAGAAACAATTAAAAATAGGTTAGAGATCTTTGAGAAAGAAAGTCGACACTTTGAGATCGTTCGTTTTCAGTTTTCCTAATTTACAAAAGAAATTATTTTTCTCAAAATATTGACTTAAATTTGACTTTTTTAACATTGCCTTTTTTTCTTAAGTAGGGGAAGGAGGGGTAAAGTGAAATGGCTTATCTTTTAAGTTGAATAAATTAGCCATTTATCGAAGCAGAATAGTATAAAAAAACTATGTGTGTCTTATTTTCACTTTGCCCCCTATGGTGGGGTAAATTGAAATGGAAAGTAGGGTAATATGACAAGGTAGAAATAATTTACAATTGATATAAAAAACAAAATATATTGAAACAAATACAAAATATATTTAAAAATTAAAAAATATAATTAGGAAAATGTAATTATCCCATGACGAAAAGAATAAAAATGTGTCAGAACGCTTAAAATCTCACTTTCTAATATGATACTATCATCAGGTAGATCTGGAAAGACAAATGAGTCTTGGTCATTACGATAGTTTTGCATATAGATTATATCATAAGCAACTTCACCATTAATTTTTTCCAAGAACTGCCCTTTAATTTTTCCAACAAATTTCTTTATAGTTCTCTTTGTGATTTCTATTAGGGTTACCAATACAAAATCTTCTGGATCGATATCCTTGTGTATCAAAGTAAATTCATTTTCTTTGTCTTTGTCTAACGCTGTTATGTCTTTGGCATCTATGGACATGGATTCTTCAGAGTCAGAATCCTGACAGTAGTTTGTGAGCTCTTCCGTAGAACTCTCCGAATTTGTAGATATTTTCCTAGACTTTCTTGATTTTTTGGATCTATTCTTAGCATTATGTTCTTCACACAACTTTCGTTTAACACTTTTTACTGCTTTTGAAGTTGGTTTGTCCAACTTCTCTTTTAGCTCTAGTAGGTATGGGGATGATGTGATAATTGCAGTTTTACCACGTCTACGTTTTCCGGCCTTTTTCAAATTAGGCACTACTATAGGCAACGGAAGAATATCACTTGGAGACATGATTTCCTTTAAAGGTGGTGTTTTTTGTAAAGCTTTGCTTGCGGTATAAAATGAGTGACAATAAATTGTTAAATTAGTAGCAGTCGTCGTGGTTGTATGCTTGTCTTTAACACTTGTTGGATTTTCTAAATAAGGGTCCACATTTTTTTTGAGGCATTTGAATCCTTGAAGTGGAAGGATTCACAGTTAATCGCCTTTGGTTAAAGAGGTAATGCTGTTGTTAAACCATCATCTGGGGTTGGGTCAAAGGTATTTTGTCGTTCTGTTAATCGTGAAGGTTTAAAATCAATGTCCACAAATTTGATATTATCATAAGGAAAAATACCAGTTGATTTGAAACCACTTTCAGCATTGGGGAGGTTTGCTGCTCTGGCTTAGACTTTGCCAAATATTTGGCCTACATCTTGTAACTCAACCAGTTTATTCGGTTTGTTTCTCTGCCAGGTCCTAACCTCTTGAGAGTAATAATTATTTAATAGATACATGAAATTGACCATCAAGCGGTTGAAGCTTGTGTGATGTATGAGGTGGAATTACTAAGATATGCCCAGACAGCACACCAAATCCTTTGGATATCTACTGAACATCCCAATATCCACTGAATGTCCAGTCCATGGTGGATATCTATTTTATATCCATGAAATGTAATTTATAGACATGCAAATGTCCATAAATAATTGTAATTATATAGCAAATTATTAAAAAATTACGCCATTGTACTCGCCATTGTGGCTAATAGTACCGTTGAGATATTTAAAATTAATTTTTTTTAAGGTGTATTCAATATCCCATGGACATCCACTATAAATATAAATATATCAAAGTCTAAGCGCGGACGCAAACCATCGTGGATATCTACTAGATGTAATTTTTGATTTTGCTTCCTAAGTATAGATGGCGATACCACTTTCGTATCTACTCATGCTTAACCCGCCGTAATTGAGTTTGATCGACATTGTTTCAGAAACAGACTTCATTAGAGACTGAAGTCGAGAAGTTCCATTTATTGCTGAAGATTCCTAATAAGGATGATTTTCTCCTTAGTAGGCAAAATCAAAGGCAGAAAAGGCAGATTGTTGGGAATATTTTTTACCTCTATTTTCTTTCGACGTTATTCAATAACCATTGGTTATTTATGAACCTCTACTAAAAATAATTATAAAATATTTATCTGAATTTCTATATCCTGGGATATAGACGGACATTTGGTTATTTGGTTGGATATCCACAAAATATATTCTATGGATATATCTGGGATTTCTTGTATTGTCTGGATATATCTGGGATTTCTTGTATTGTCTGGATATATCTGGGATTTCTTGTATTGTCTGGAGATACTCATTAGATATTTTGCTGAATATCCATAGGATATCTTCTATATTCTGGATATAGACGGACATTTGGATATCCATATTAGTTCCACGGAATATTTCTGATATCCTGTGGATATATTGGATATCCACAAAATATATTCTGTGGATATCTCTGGGATTTGGTGTGTTGTCTGGGTGGACATGTTGTGCTCTGGCTTTCTCTATTAAAACTAAATTTTGACATGTGTTAAATGTCCATCTAATATTAGGAGGACCGAATCATTTTCAGTAGGATGTCTATGTTTTATAAAGTGAGAAAACCAAATATCACTAAAAATTTCCGTTTGCATCCATCCAGATTTATGAAAGTAAACGGTACATCCTGGGGGCGAGTTTATTTCATAAATGGTTTCTTCGCTTGCGAGGAATAATAAGCAGGGGTGGAACATAGTGACCTGAAGCACTAATGCAAATTTCAGCAGTAATAAGAATTCCTCTCTCGCCAGACGTATAATGTCCCACTTGTTTCTTACATTTGAAGGATATAATTTTGGTTGGCTTATTTGGTACCGTGGTTATACCTGTTTAGTAAATTCGATTGGCAGAAAAAGCATAGCACCAACAGAAACTTTATTAAAGCCAGAACCTCTGGCTGCTGATGTATTTTCTGGTGTTCTTAATGCTAATTGATGATGCCTTCTTAAAAAAAGAGATAACCAATCTTTACCGGCCAAACAGGTCCTCTTTATTAAAATTATTAGGAATTTTATTAATATCTGCGTATTGAAATGCTGATCTTCGCAGTTCTAAATACGACAGACCAAAAAATAACTTGTCCATAGCAATCAGGTGTTCCACTAGAGCTGTATACGGTTTTAAATTTGCCGAGCTTCTTTTTGGAGGCCTCTTCTTCATTCTTTCCACTTTTTATCCTCCGATGCAAGGAAGCCACAGGAATTCCGTATTCTTTAGCCTTATTTTGGCTGACGAGACCAGTCCGTACCGCTCGAGGTTTTCATTAAAATTTTTGTCGTAAGGACCCATAAGAGTTATTAGTAATTTTAACCACAGCAATTAGGGTAATAAAAATTGCCGATTTCATGCCTCTGAAGACCACTGTTGCTGGGTCGTTTTTCGGGTGTAGGTTCTCATATCGAATCTGCAAAGATATTTATTTTTATTATTCATAAGAAATAGATAACATGTAGAGTAAAGTGAAATGATATTTCACTTTACCACATGTACTAACATTTCATTTTGCCCCATCGAAGCTGAAAATATAACTTTTTATGATTACACGTTATAACATAACCTAATAAATTGATTTAACGAGTAAAATAAAGCTAAATATTAATGTTTCTCTATGTACACTTCGACAAAATGTTTGATAAGTAATGATAGAAATACTAGCAATTGCACTCACCTGCAGATTTAACAAAACTAGACGTAAAAACAAACAAATATTGCTCTTAAAAAAAACTATGTATCGACAAGTGTTGTTCCTAGGGATTTTGGAATTGTACAACTTCTAATGTCAAAATTGTACACTTTTACGTTCGATTGTATAGCCACTAATTAATATTTCTCTTTTTTATTGATAGCATATGGCCTACTACTTCCCTATGCTTAAAATTATTCTTTTTTCTAGTTAAAAAAAAAATGTTTTCTATGTAAAACGGTTTACTGATTGGTCGCGAATGGAGCCTAATTTAAACATTATTGTTTTATTAATTTTAATGCATACGATTTAACGAATCGTAGACTTTTTGAGCAAAAGAAAGCCTTATATTCCAGATTTTACATAAATATTTAGCAACTTCAAATTGTACATTTCTACCTTTTTCAAAAGCGCGTACAACTACATGATTGTACAACTTGTTGTACAATTGTACAACCAGGAACAACACTGCACGACTATCAAGCGTCAACTAACCATAACCCGGACACACGCTGCGTTTACTGGAGGCCTTAATATCCCATTATTTCGCTTTGCCCCACCATTCCATTTTGCCCCTCCTTACCCTACTGTATATTTTTCAAAATTAAGTTATTTTCACAAAATTTTGACCTTATTCGTCAAAATTCTGAAGTTTTTAAAATTATTATTTTATACTTTGAGGAACCAATACGCTGTCGTAGTGATGGCAAAGAAATTTTCCTTAAATTTCATATATTATTCATTGTAAATTTTTGACTCATTCCAAATCGAATATAGAAACCAAACAAATTTGTTCCACAAAATAAAAAATCAACGAAATGCCTAAAAAAATATATCTTAGAAGTATATTTTCAACGAAAATGTATGTAGGTAATAATTTATAGTAAATTTTAAAACAAAATATTTTTAAACAAGTAATAAGTTATAAAAATAAATACATAACTAGTTATACAATCTAATTTGCTAATTGTATAACTAAATCAAATTTCGTCTATTAATTATACATTTTATAATCTGTTGTGTACGTTTTTTAAATTTATTTTAATGTCAAATAGTTTATTTTAAAAATATTTTGTTACTTAATGACCTGTAGTGATTTACAGGATATATTGGTGATAATTCTTCCAATCGACTGTATTTATAGATTTAATTTTTCTATGTGATAGTATAGATCAGTAGAAATGTAGATGAAAGTACAAAATATAGTTACATTCGTGGGTTTTGCAGGCTGTGTATAGTCGGAATGTATTTTTCGTACAAACTATTATTTTAGTTTACTACAAAAAAAAGCAATTTATATTAAATATTTTTTCTTAAACAGTTTGTTTTATTTCATATGTATTGTTTTTAAATGTGGAAAGTTGTTCGTCCCAACAAAATATATTGGAAAAGTGTGGACACTTTTTTACAGGGACAGTAAGACTAGTAAGAGGGCAGTTTGACGGAAGAGTGACTTTTCAACAAAAAAGTTACTTTGCTGTAAAAAAATATTGAATTTTTTAACATAATCTCCTTTTAACTCTACACACTTAGCCCAGCGAGTTTCCAATATTTTCAAACCATCCAAAAACTAATCTTTCGGAAGTTCCGCAAAATACGCATTTCTCTGTCATCACCTCTTCATTTGTCTGAAATCGCTTTCCACCAAGTTTGGGAACAGAAAGTAATCGGAGGTAGTAAAATCAGGTGAATATGACGGATGAGGTAATAAATCGTACTTGGGAGTGAATTAAATAATCAGTTATATGTTTGTATATTTACATTTAAAGACAATAAATCACATTTAATCACAATAAAGAATCAAAATTTTGCTAATCTCTGTAAAGTACAGGATATTATTCAAATACATGTAGATATTAAAAAGGGAAAATTGAACTAGTGTAAACTTTAATGCTAAAATGTGCTATTCGTTATTGAACTTCATTAATTATTGTAAATTTTTCATATGTACATGTATTTTAATAACATCCTATATAATACTGAAAACACTACAAACCTAACAAAAATTTGACTAATAAAATCACATATATTTCATAAGTCATTTAAAATATTTAAAAACAAAATATAAAAATCGTTTAACTTACAAACTAACAGTGTTTCAATAAATATTTCTACAGATAAAACAATACTTTTGAGCTTAACAATATTAAATTAGAAATTAAACTGTTAAATATTAGCAATTTGACTAGAATAACTAGAGCCCGTATATTAATAAATCATGATGTAAATAAAATCAATATAATAATTTAGTCGTTTAATATGGAATTACTTTAATGAGATTTTAAAAACTCTAATATAACGTTGATGAATACCACTCGTTATATTATATTGAATAAAAGCTAAAAAAAAATTAAAATAGTCTTCATACTCAAATCCGCATTACTATCCCATCTAAAACGTTTCACGACACTAACTTTAGATCAATTAGAACTATTAATTTATTTGACATTTGTTATAACTGTCAATAAACCTACCTACTAGTAATATAACCTTTGGCCGTTTAATCTCGAGCTTGGACGATGTGAGCGTTCCTATAGTAGAAGTGATCGATCACATCCTACAGTGTTTCTCCTAATATAATCAAATGGAGGAATAAATTGCAAGGTCTTGCCAACTCTTCTTTTTCTTGGTTTCTATGACCATTTGAACTAAATTTTGTTAAATTACTCCAATTTTGCAATAACAAAAAGAAGAAAAACGTTGTTAACTTCACCGTCACCCACCCATTTTCAATTTGAAATTATTAAGCGTTTTCTAATTATTATATATTATGTTTTGATGAAGTAAAGTCCGTATCTGGAATGACCTATTAATATACCGACTCTGATAATAACATTCAACACACCAATAACAAATATGTCACATTATTAGATGATAACAGAATACATCTATACATTGTACCAATTTCTATTTAAGTCATAATGAAAGATATTTTTTTTTAATTTAGTCACATTAAAATACTCCTTAACTCATTTAAACGCCTTATGCATCGTAATTATTACCCATCCCCCTATTATTAATTTATTGGTGCCACGAATTAGTTTGAGACTTAAGAGCTGTCTGCGTTAAGAAATTGGTACACCCTCTTTGTTAAAAGGTTAAAATTACAAGTCAGCAGCGGAGAGTTGTAGAGAATTAAGAGAACCTTCGCCTTGAGTATCATCAGCTGAATACAAAGTGAACGTTTCTACACCATCGGATTGTTCTCCAATAGATACGGCGCAAATTTGGAAGGATTTGCTACCCATTTCTACATCTCCGCTGGAAAATATGGCGAAGGATTCGTTAATTGGAGTTTTTTCGTCGGAATATATGGTCATGGTGGTGAAGTTAAGTAACGAATTATCATTGACTTCGAGCAGCTCGTTCATTTCATTTATTTCATCAATTTCATCTTTGGGATCATTAATGTGTGTGACGGCATGAGCCCGAAGGGAGTGGGCCCACAGGAAACTCTTGTTGCAAGTGGGACACTTGTAAGATTTGATTCCAGTGTGGGTTCTGTTGTGGACTTTCAAGCTACTGCTGCGATTGAACGATTTTTCGCATACAGTGCATTTATAGGGTTTTAGAGCTGTGTGGACGATTGAGTGACGTTTCAGCCTTGTCGAAGATGGAAAAGCCTTTTCACATTTTCTAAAAATAAAAATATACGCTAGTATATACAGGGTTGGGCAAAATTGGCCGAACGCGCCTGATTTCTGGCTGTATTGGACAAATGAATAAAGACAATACCTTATAAAATAGTTTTAATAGTGTATGTGTAGACCAAAAGTTAAATAGCCTGATTTCTGATCATATGATATTTAAAAATCAATTTTCAGACAAATTAAAGAAAGATTTGGGTCATCGTACAATTGAAAATTGATAAATTTATTATTTTCAATAAAATCCAATCATTTAAAATGACCCCATTTTGTTTAAAACCAAAATTGCTATTAAATTTAGAAATTTAAATAATAAGTTTAAGTCTTGTCTCCATACAAATGTATTTTAATTATCAGTAATTCTAATGTCAACGAATTCATTTATAAATTTAATTGTAGACTAAACGAGTATTTTAATTTTGAACAAATTGCCAAATTTTGTGCAATAGAATTTTCTTGCAAAATGGGGGAAGCTATGATGAGATATTGAGTGCTAAGTTTTTAAAGGAAACCTTTTATACAACTGGCTTTGCAGTGTTAAATTAAATAAACACTTCACTAGAAACAGGAACATTTCCTGATAGACTAAAAGCAAGATAGTTCCAGTCCAAAAAATTACAAACGATACAAATGCATCCAACTTGCGACCTATAAATATACTTCTGACGATTGAAAAATTATTAGAAACCATAGTTCGTGACGAAATATTAGAATACTTTAATAACAAAGGTTTGTTTGTGGAAAATCAGTCAGGATTTAGGGAAGGCCATTCATGTGAAACGTCATTACAGTTAATTATATCTAAATGGAACCAAGTACTTGATGAAAATAAATATATAATAGTAATCGAATTAAATTACCGGTTTTGAGCTTACATTAAATTGTAATTAGATGAAACAAAATGGATTCTATGTATTTTGAGGTGATATTTTCGAAAAAAGGCAAAACAAAATGTACCAGTTTTTCGAAAGCGCCAAAATTTTGGATTTTGTCAATTTTTCAATTTTGCGCATGCGCATGTCGCAAATAAATCATTATTTTTAAAACGCAGTTTACGACAATTGAAAGCTTAGAAAAAATGCTAATTTTTATGTCTCCTGAGAAATTTTGATCGGATGCACCGTTCTCGCGGTATGGACGATTGAAATTTGTTTAGTATTTTGAGGCGGCGAAGGTAGAAAAATTGAATTTGTTAAATGTTCAAACACTAAATTCTTCATAACTTTGGTAAAAATTAAGATATTTGAAGAAACAAAAGTTCGTTTTGAACTTAAGGGATGTGACTATTGATTCCCAGAAGGGGGCAAGAGAAATCCCAAAATTGGGCATATGGCGGAAGGGCAAAATGTACCGCAAGCCTAATTTCATTGTTTGCCTATAACGGCCAAACTATTTAAATTTATTTAATGCCACTTACAGAGCTTACTTTTAAATATGAAATCTTATACATGTGTGAATTTTACCGAAATCGGATTATAATTGGCCAAGATATCAAACAATTTATCAAATTTTTTTTCCTAAAAAAAAACTAATTTTTTTTTCGAAAGTTTGAAGTGGCACAAAAATGCCAAAAATGCACCCAATGACTCTTTGAATACTCTATTATGTTTAGAATACGATTACATTACGGAAAATTCTGCAAAAATATTTTATCTATTTTTTTGACCACTGTTCATTGAGTGACGACCAAAAAACACGGTTTTTGAGAAAAGTTGCCTAAAATTGACGATTTTCAGTTTTTTGGTCTGAAAATTGAGCAAACCCAAATCTCATGTCTTCTCAATGTGTATACAAAGTTTAAAGTGTGTATGTTTCTTCTAAGTTGTAGAATTCTCCCGACAAAAGTCCCATTATACGCGCTCCGCGGGATCCAAAACTCGTGCATTTCTGTAAATTGATTTTTTTGTGATTTCCCGTTTTAAATTTCTTACATACCTAAATTTATTAGGCCTAAAATTTATTAAATTGTATTTTACTGACTTGTTATAAGACGTTTCTTGAGTTTTGTGCAAAAAATAGAATTACCGCAAAATTAGCCGGACGTCGTATCAAGGATAGTCATGGTCTCGACGTTCGCTATCCGACAAGTTTAAACTTGAAACGGTCATATTATTACAAATTGAATCGCTTGATAGTGTATATCGGCATAGATTTTTAATAACCGTGTTCAGCAAGCTCTGTGTACACGTGGTTTTTCAGACTTCTTCAGCAATTTATTAAGTAAGTACGTTCTTAAATTAAGAAAATTCTATCACAGTGCTATAATTTTTTTTGTTTCCAGGTTGCAATGGCTGGACTGTGTTTATTATGTCATCAGAAACTTACAGAGGGTGAACTTACCCCAATTAGACCGATAGGATTGAAAGGTCTGCAGATGGTCAGCAAAGAGAGAGGGGATGATTTTTTCAGTTCTTTAGAACCAGGTTTTATATTGCATGAAAGGTGTCGCAAACATAACGTAGCTCGACGTTACGGAAAAGAGTTTATTTATAAAACCTGGGATAGGCATAAAAGGGCCGCGATTGACAATGCCAAAAAAAAAGGAGGATGGAGCATCAACCGAGAAGAAAACCAGATGTTAGAGAACAAAAAACAAGCTTATCACCAAGTTGGAACTTACACTCAAGCTTAGGATTAATTTCCTAACATTTTTAAAGTATACCTTCTTGTATATTTTTTTGTGCTCTTTCCGATGGCGCAGTTAGTTTCTTCAAATATATTTTTTGTTACATGTTTTCGGAAAACCCGGAGAAAATCATATGGGGAAAAATTAAAAAAAAATTACGCCTTCCGGTTTCCTGCGAATTCCCGAAAAATTATGGCAGATTTCGCCGCGGGACTTATTTTATTTGAGAGCCCACAAAAAAATACGCAACTTCTCTCATGGGCACATATGTCTAACATTTATAATTTCGCCACAAATTCATCGCAAATTTCATGTTCATGATTCTGATCAAAGAAACGAAAAAACAACTTTTTGGTAAAAGCACTTCTGGCGGCGAGAAATTCGCCATTAAAACTACCTATGCAATGAAATTCCGAATTATTTTTGCCTCCTCTTTCGATTGGTGCATTTAATTTTACTATCAGAATGATACTTGCCCAGATAATTAGCATTTTTACCATGGAAAATTCCGGAAAACCCGGTTTTTCCTAATTTAAAAAAAATTGAAAAACTGCTACATCATTTTTTTCTTTTTTTCGGAAAGATCACATCAAAATACACAAGGTCCACTTTGTTTTATCCAATTACAAATTAATGTAAGCTCGAAGGGGCTTTTTTTCGTTATTTAATTGGACTATAGCAGTTTTTATAGATTTTAAACGAGCTTTTGAGACAATAGATCGTATAATTTTGATTAATAAATTGAAATATTATGGTTTCGCAGGACGAGTCCTGACCTGGTTTGAACAGTATATGACTGATAGATTACAATATGTAAAGCTAGGTAAATCAACATCTGAAATTCTTAAAAATACCGAAAGGAAGTATATTTGAGCCGCTTCTATTTATCATATATTTAAATGACATTAATTATATTGAGTGTGACTTTATTTATATATTTGCAGATGATACACTGGTAGCATGTTATGGGTATAACTTTGAGGAAATTTTAAATAAACTGAATAATATATTGAGAGTCTTAATCCCGTTTTTAAATAAAAATAAACTTAATACTAAAAAAAAACGAAAGCAATGATTTTGGGAAGTAAATATAAATTAAATCAAATAAACTATAATAGATACAACATTAGAATTGAAAACGAGAATGTTGAATAGATTAATGAATTTAAATACTTGGGATTTATTTTAGATGAAAATCTATTATTGAAACCTCACTGCGAATATCTAGATTAACAGTGTATAAAACTATTATACATCCTCATTTTGACTACTGCGGATCGTTACTTTATAAATTGGATAAGAGCTGTTTACAAAGACTACAAAAATTGCAAAATAGAGGAATGAGAATAATCCTTCGATGTAACAGATACACACCAATAAATGGTATGCTGACCACTTTAAGTTGAATTTCAGTACAATACAAGATCTGTTAATAATTTTTATATTCCACAAACAAGACTAGCTATAGCAACAAAATCTATTTTTATATGTGGATTTAGTGAATTTAATGCTTTGCCTAGTGAAATTAAAACAAGTACCTCTCTACCTCAGTTTAAAAAATGTTTAATACAATTTATTTCCAGTCCGTAAATTAAATTAACTAAATTAACTTTGTAACTTTGTATGTTTACTTTATGTTTACTTTAATATGTATTTATTTTAACTTTAGTACTAAACGTCTTACTTTTATTACTGATTTTATTACTAATTCTATCAAGATTTTATTTTATTTATTCAACTGAATTTGTGCAGACTGAGGATAATATGTAATATTTTTAAAAAAACTACTATGTATTAGGACTTCCTATATTAAAATAAATATTCTTTCTATGGTAACAATAATGGCAACGTCAACAATTCATATTAATAACATTTTTACTAATTTAGATTATATTTTTCACAATAGGTGTCCTTGAGTCTTTAATCACAGATTATCGATGTCAGTATATTATAACTAATTAAAGACGATCAAAAAACCATTAATACTAATACAGTCAAAAAAAGATTCATATCAAATTCTTGTATTCAAAAACTGCAAAAGTGTTCGAGACTTACAGTGATATTAACAATATGGCTTACTTTCTAACGAATACTTATACTGACTTCATTTGTGAGTATTTTCCATTGAAGAATTATTCTAATAAGTTAAAATGATGACCAGTAAAATGGTTTAATAATTCTCTAAAATTTATGAGACAAGAACTGTTTGATTGAACAGTTTTAACAGAAAGTACCTATGTTCCGGATGTATTTACAACATTTAAGAACTTAAAAAAAATATACAAGTTTCTGCTAAAAAATAACATATTTACAACTCGATTAAAGCTTACTGGCAAATAATAAATTCTGAGCGTAACAAATTTAAAAGTAGTTATCCAGTTTCCTCATTAACTCCCAATATTTTCAATGATTTCTTTACAAGCGTGGCAGATAATATTATTAAATCTTTACTGGCAGTTTCTAATAGTGATTTACTACATTTTTGATATTTTCCAGTACCTTACAGTTCTTTTTTCCTATCTCCAGAAGAAGAAATTTAAAGTCAAATTTTAAGCATAAAAAAAACAACCCCCCCTCCCATATTATTCTTTAATTAATCTGATTTTTAACAGTGGCACTTTTCCACATGCATTTAAATCTTTTAAAGCTGTGCAAACTTGTACAATGAGCAAAGGTGACGAGAGTGTGTACTATGAAATAATAATATAACTAGTCATAAGGGTATAAAGTTATTGGAGACTAAGTCAGACAAACACATGAAACAAAAAAGTAAAACATTGCGAGAGATAGTACTGAGGGATAAACTGAAAGGGGAATTAAGTGTACAAGGCTAGAGAATTGATGGACTTTAAATGTTTAAAGGAATTGACAGCAATTAATAGGGAATTTCCAGATTTTTTTTTGGGAATTGCAAGAATTAGTAATTGCAAGGATTAGAAAGTGAAAGAGAATTAAGTGTACAAATATTGGTCTAGGGTTTGTCCCTCATATACTTTTCTTATACATCTACTCTTTGAAAAAAAAAAGTACTTACGGGCATTTAAATGGCTTCTCTCCAGTATGTGACCGCATATGTTGGACCAAATGACACTGCATGGACATCGTTTTACCACACACATTGCACATATATGGCTTTTCTTTAGTATGAGTTCGCATGTGATAAGTGAGATCTGGAGCTTGTCTGAATCCTCGACCGCAAACAGAGCACAAAAATGGTTTAGAACCTACAAGAAATACTCATAATAAATTATATATTGAAAAATAAATAAATTTCAATTTATTACCAGTATGAATTCTCATGTGAGCTGTCAGGGTTCCGGATTGTTTGTATTTTTTGCCGCATTCTTTACATTCAAATATTTTTTTTTCGGCATGTCTGCGAATGTGGAACAATAAATGTGCGTATGTTTTAAAATTTTTCTTGCAGTTTGTACAAGAATATGGTCTTTTTTCATCGTGCGTTTTGAAATGAATCCTCAGATCGTTGGGAGTGTTGCAAGTTTCTTCACATTGATTACAATCAAAAGTCTAAAAAAGTAACTGAAATTGTGCAAGCTGTCCCACAAATTATAATAGTGCTTCTGTATCTTATAATAATAATGTTATTATCATTTATTTATACAAATTTAATATATGAGATCAGAAATGAAAAATACCTACAAAATAAAATATCAAAAAATGAATTCGATACATTGTAGATTTGTATTTTAGTTTACATTTCTGAAACAAGTTAAATTTTATTTGGCATTATTAAACAATAATATATACCTATTGGATAACTGCAATTTTATAAGCTTCCTTTTTACAGGTGAGAAGACGTGTTCGTTTCACTGCGCAAATAAATCTATATTTCTACAGATATAAACTATACACTATGGTTCAAATGAAAGGAATAAATTCTTTATAATGGAAGTAGTTGGTTTTTCCAAAAAATGCTCGGACAGGTCAATTTTGTTTACTCAAAGCGTAATTTTTTAAATAGAATTCAATTTTCCCCCACTTCCCATTTTCGGGCAGTGACGTCATTGACAATTTTTTTAAATAGTAACCCCAATTTTTTTTTCTTGATTTTGATAGATCTTGCAATTTCCTAATCGGAAACATAATATTTGAAATATCTGACATAACATTTTTTTTGAATAAAAGTCATTTAAAAATCAGATAAATAAATTTTATTTTATTTTGAGAACACAATACATGAATATAATATAATTATTTGTAATTAAGTGCTTAATCTAACAAAATAATAATAATAATAATAATAATTAATAATAATAATAATAAAAAACAATTTGTAAAATTGTTATTAAATTCTTTTTATTATTATTATTATTATTTTTTTAGATGAAGCACTTAATTACAAAAAATCTTTTATTCACTTACTGTGTTTCAAAATAAAATTTATGTATCTGATCTTTAAATGACTTTTATTCAAAAAAAAATGTTACGTCAGATATTTCAAATATTTTGTTTCCGAGTAGGAAATTGCAAGATCTTTTAAAATCAAGAAAAAAAAATGGGGGTTACTATTTAAAAAAATTGTCAATGACGTCACTGCCCAAAAACGGGAAGTGGGGGAAAATTAAATTCTATTTAAAAAATTGCGCTTTGAGTAAACAAAATTGACCTGTCCGAGCATTTTTTCGAAAAACCAACTACTTCCATTGTAATGAATTTATTCCTTTCATTTGAACCATACTGTATAATGTTAAAAACAAAAACAACTAGTGAATTAAATAAAATGTGATAGTTGATAGTACTATAGTGTAGTAAATAAACTGTTTAGGTGAGTCACAGTCGCATAGATTAATTATCTCTGCAATTTCCCCAAATAAAATCTACCAAGGAAACAAAAAACGCAAAAAAGTACCAAACCTTATCAGATGACAAAAAAGTTTAGGTGAAATAAAATAAACACCAATACTTTCTACTAAGCAATCATACAAATAGAATATCCAGTGGCGTACCCACATTTAGTTTATAAAATAAGAAAATGATTTAATAAGAAAAATGGCAATGAGATTATTCATCAGCCTACAAAAGAACAAAAATATCCATGCTCTACATGTGATGGATGCAGAAGATTATACTGCAACCAATGTTCTGAATTATCAACCACAGAAATTAGGTGTATACAACTACGCACTAGAATTCTGAAATTTAATTGTGCAAAATGTAGGAATTATGAACTGACTGATTTTCTAAAGAAGACTAATGAAGATAAGGATGAAATAATAAGAAGTAAAGATGAAATAATAAATAGTAAAAATGAAATAATAAAAATGCTTCAAGAGAAAATTAAATAATTTGAAGAAAAAGATAAATATTGTACCTACCATTTCTTATGATGATATGGTGAAGTTACAAAAAGATGACAATGATCGAAAACCTAACCCTCCAAAAATTATTTTTAAACCGAAAATACCACAGAGTGGAAACAAAACAAAAACAGATTTAGGAACAAATATTAACCTAACTGACTTAAAAGTTGGAGTGAAACAATTAAAGATGGGAAAGAATGGTTCCTTTATATTTTCCTGTCAAACAAAAAAAGAAGCTGAAATTCTGGAAAAAGCTGTTCAAGATAAATTAAAAGATTCATATGATGGAGATCTGACAAAAATGAGAAGACCCAGAATGAAAATCTGCAATTTTACGGAGAATATGACCAAGGAAGAAATTGACAAGTCCATTGTGAAACAGAATGAAATAAAAACCACATATATCAGAAAAACGAAAAAAGGCTTCAATACTGTATACTGTGAATGTTCAGGAACTGCATTTAAACAATTGATACAAAGGAAAAAAATATGTATAGGATGGGAAAGAATTCCGGTTTAAGAAGATTTGGAGATACCCAGATGTTTTAAATGTCAAGGTTTCTACCATAAAAAAGAAAACTGTAATAATGCAATCGTGTGCCACATCTGTAGTGAAGAACATGTGTCCAAAGAATAAAATACACTGTAAGAACTGTAAAACTTCTAACGAAAAATATAAAACTGAGTACGACTACAACCATTCTGCACTGGATTTGACTGTACCTCTTTGAAATATCTTCAAATGGTATTGCAAAATAAAATAAAACCGAGATCAATAACATAACGTAACTAATATTTGTACACACATTCAAATAGTTCATGATTATTAATCAAGAAAATAATCTAAATTCTATTCAAATTGATTCGATTAATGAAGTCGTTGATGCTGCTAATATAACAAAATTAATTTAAATGAAAAACTCCTAAATGTCTTTCATTTCAATATTAGAAGTATTAAAAAGAATTTTGATGAGTTGTTAGCATTTCTAGAAAGTTATAAAATTAATTATTGTGATATAATAGTTTTGACTGAATGTTTCCAATTAGAATTATATTTCTCAATTTAACCTAGATAGCCCACTATAACAATGGTAACATTAACAGAAATGATGGTGTTTTAATTTTGGTCAGGTCAAATCTAAATGCAGAATTAGATATAGTTAAACTGGAATATTCTGATATTTCTGTCACTAAAATAAATCTAAAAGTCAATCATCAGACCATTGGCATTACAGGTGTATACAGGTCTCCTCAAACCTTTGCACAAACATTCATAAGGGATTTAGAAAATTTAATACCAAATCACCTAAATAGAAATATTGAAATATTCATAGGGGACATTATTATTGATCTCCTAAATGTAACCAATCAAGTAACTACTGATTACCAAGCAACTTTTTACTCCCATGGTTTCATGTCTTACATAAACACTATTATGAGGCCACAAAGTAAAACATGCTTGGATCATATTATATTCTTAAAAAACAATATTAAGACTGAAAATCTATGGGTGAACTCTTATGTAATCAGCTATGATATGACTGATCATGATCCTACTATGATGAATATCTCACAATCTGCCAAAATCTACACAAGTTCCTACAATACATATAAAAATATAACTAAAATCGATATTGATAAATTAAAACAAAAATTCGAAACTGTAAACTGGGAAAGTGTTTGCAATGAAAATAATCCAGAAATTGCAACACAACTTTTTTATGACATGTATCTTAATATCATTGAAACATGTCAAACCACTCAAAATATTAAAATTAAAATCCATAAAAAAATAAAACCATTGATAACAAATGGTTTAATTAATTCTATTAAAACTAGGGATAAACTTAAAAAAGATCTACAAAAAAACTATACTACTAACACACAAACTCACTATAAAACATTTAGAAATAATTTAAACAAACTATAATATCAAAAACTAAAAATGACTATTATAACAATAAAATAAACCAAAACAAAAATGATCTGAAAAAAACTTATCAATTAATCTCTGAAGCAACTAATGAAAACCATAAAAAAAATAATACCATTTACAGATTGTTAACCAACATAATGAGGAATTTGAAAATGATAATGAAATGGCGAATTACTGCAATAACTACTTTTCAACTATTGGCACTAATATGTTCACAAATATCCCTGAATGTAATGTGGATTTTCCTGTAAGTGTCACTGAAAAATCAATGTTTCTGAAACCGATATTATAAAACACATAAATAGTATGGTGGAGCGAAAAAAAATAATTTTTTTTCCTTAGCCTGGGGGTGTAATTTGTAGCCTATAAAAAAAGAAACTTTTTGAAAAAAAAAATTTTTTACTCAACGTCTTGAGGTGGCCCACTGATTTTTTAAATTAAATTTAAATTAAAATTCTTTTGAATGAAAAAAAAATTTTTTTTTGGCTTGTAATCTTTAAATTTATCTGCGGAGTGTCCTCTTTCTTGCTAATTAACAGTTATGAACTTAAAAAAATGTTTGTGGTCATTATTGTTGTTTTTAAAAAAATTCCAAAATAGTAACATGCTTTTCTGAGGCAATAGAGCGAATTTCGAGTTGAACACGATCAAATTTGTTTATTTTTAAATAAATTTGAAGATTACAAGCCAAAAAAATTTTTTTTCATTCAAAAGAATTTTAATTTAAATTTAATTTAAAAAATCAGTGGGCCACCTCAAGACGTTGAGTAAATTTTTTTTTTCAAAAATTTTCTTTTTTTATAGGCTACAAATTACACCCCCATGCTAAGGAAAAAAAATTTTTTTTCGCTCCACCCTAATAAATAGTTTAAAAAACAATAGTCCCCGGGATTTGATTGTATACCAGTAAAACATCTGAAACTACTACATCCGTATTTACTGGAACCTTTAATGCATATAATTAATTGTATTTTTAAAACAGGAATCGTACCTAAACAATTTAAAACTTCAATTAAAACACCTATTTATAAAGCTGGTAATCCAAAATGAATAACTAACTATAGGCCTATTAGTTTAATTAGTAATGTGGCCAAAATATTTGAGAAATGTGTGAAAAATAGACTGACACATTTTTTAAAAACTAATGATTTACTTCCCAAGCACCAATATGGCTTTACTGAGGGTCTTAACTCAGGAGATGCTATGCATGAATTGATTTCATATGTTACTGATGAAATAAATACTGGTAACAAGTGTATAGCTATATTTCTAGATCTAGCAAAAGCATTTGACATGGTGCCACATCAGAAGCTCTTAAATGTTCTTGAACAGAATGGAGTGTTGAAAGTTTTTGAAAATTATTTGACATACAGACAACAGAAGGTAAAGGTCAGAGACAATGTGAGTAACCCTGAAAATATAAAAATCGGAATGCCTCAAGGGACTGTTCTGGGACCTATACTATTTAATTATTTATACATTAAGAGCATAACTCAGATTGATATTTAAGGTAAAGTTGTTATCATATGCTGATGATACAGTGCTAGTCTTCAGTGATAAAGATTGGGAAGCTGTCAAGACACGTGCTATAGCTGGAATGGAACATGTCAAAAACTGACTAATGGTTTTTAAATTGTCTTTGAATGTTAACAAAACAAACTACATTGCTTTTTCAAAGACAGGCTGATCGACCTCAATTTAGAAGTTTAACATGTTAAAATTTAGACATACAGGAAACACAAACATCCAAATATTTAGGTATAATTATAGACCAGCACTTAAAATGGGACTGTCATATAATATATATAGCAAAAAAACAGACTTCTGATTTATAAATTTTATCTTCTAAAACAATTTCTCAACCAGGATCTACTAATAACATTATACTACAGTCTAGTAGAATCTATACTATGGTATGGAATCTTAGTATGGGGAGGCCTGTATGGAACTACATTAAATCAGTTTAATGTTATTCAAAACAAAATCTTGAAGTTAAAATATAACAGAGATCGATTGTGTCCCACCATAACTTTATATAATGAAAACATTAGCAGTGTTAGATGTTTATATATTCACACAGTGTGTTGTTATATACAAAAAAATGAATTTTTAAAAAACCCTTTGGAACATAGACATAACACTAGAACTGTATCGAACATGTGCATTAAAGTACCAAAACCAAATAGTGAGTTTTTTAAAAACAGTGTAAATTATCTAGGGACAAAGTTCTATAATGCTCTACCTCTTCATATAAAATTATTAATCAAATATAAAAAATTCTGTAAAGTTAGCAAAATATACATTTTCCAAAATTTCTGTTTCTTGCATAAATTGTTCAAGTTTTATTTTTTATTTAAAACAAAAAGTTTTTTTTTTATTTCCTTTATAATAATTCATTAAATATAATATAATAAAATTTAAATTTTTGTCAGCACATACAGATGTTCTCACCTAGGTGCTTGTTATTATATAATTGGTTTCCATTATTGTACTTTATTGTAACTTATTTATTATTGTAACTCATTGTAACTTATAACTATTAAATTTTTATTAATTAATTAAAATTTAATATTGGATAAGTGGAATTTTGTAAACTTCCTTTTTATTATTAACAAGTCCAGAATAATTTTGGCAATTATAAAAAATTAATATGTACTTACCACAGTACCTTCCTCATTTCTTTTATAATAATCCATACTTGGACATTTTTTAACACGAGCAAGTATACGTGGGGGATCAGGTGGTGGTATTAAACTCTTCCCAGGTGTTCTTATATTCAAATTGAAATCCATTTTAGGTGAAATTAATTCTAAATTTTCTACTTTAAAATCATCAATCAATTGATCTACTGTGTCTTCTCCTAAGGGAATACAATTTTTTAAATCATCACAGTCTTCACTATCTTTTATTTCTGTATCTACTAATAAACGCTGGTCAGCATCTTTTTGTTCTTCATTCATTAAACAATCATTAGCGATATATTCCAAACCTTCTGCTAACAATTCCTCACTATCTAGAATCAGATCCGTATCTGGACTAGTTGAGTACTGAAGTTCATTGTTTGATTTTATTTTTCCAGTGTCAACTTTAATGTTACCTACTGTATTTTCAGGTAGATTTTTAGATATAGCAATACTTTTTGAATCTAAGGTATTAATTTTAATTTGTTCTAAATAAGATTCCAATATAGTTTGAGATGTATTGCATTGTTGTTGAAACTTGTACGCTATGTGAGCACTATTTATACATCTAGTGCAAATCATTGTTGGTAGAGTGTCACATTCTCGAATCTACAAAAATTAGATTTAGGATATATTATATATAAAAAATATCTATGACAGAGGCAAAAATAAATAAAAATAACTACACACAGCATAGGCATTATAAATATAACATTGCATGGTCTTTACATTCTTTGGGAAGGTAAAATAACTACTAATTAGCAGACATTGTAGATGCTAAAACAGTGTTGTAACATAAATTGTTTAACCCTTTTCTTAAATCTAACAGATTTTAGTAATGTATCTAAGAAAAAATGCAACTTACTCTTATGTTTGAAAGAGATACAAGAATATTCGAGATTGTAGGCATTTTCTCATCGGTAATATTATCAAATAACTGGCTATGAATTGAAAACATTGACTCCGACTCTAATAAGCACACTCGACAAATTTTATCTAAATTTAAAGCTAAAACAATTGTTTCCATATTTTTTTATTTAAAATATACAATAATAACAGAAATTGAATATATATTTACGCATTTTATTCTTTGACATTTTTTTATTTTGACATTTTATGATGACATTGACAGTCACAGAATTGACAGTGTCAATTCAAATGTCATCGTCAGGCGTGTTCAATAGACGAGTTCGGATAGTCAGAGGCTAGAGCGGGACAAAAGCGGAGTTTTTTTAGGGTGCTTTTAAATGACATTTAAGCGTGTTAAACTGTCACTAATCGGACTAAACCGAACGCTAAAAGGGTCGTTTGGAGTAAAAAGTGTTAAAGTAACTTGGCAGACCGAATGCAATGCATGGGGATTCTCATCTTTCAATACGGCACGTGATGAGACGATTATCTTCGTTCTACAGAATGCGATTATGTAATGTCTCTCTCTCTATTCAATTCGTTACGTGTTCAGTACTCCACCGACCTTGATTTAAACTGGATGGCTATGACATAAACCCAACTCCTAATTTAACATTGCGTCTGCCAAGTTACTCTAACTCCTTTAACACTTTTTACTCCAAACGACCCTTTTAGCGTTCGGTTTAGTACGATTAGTGACAGTTTAACACGCTAAATTGTCATTTAAAAGCACTCTAAAAAAACTCCGCTTTTGTCCCGCTCCAGCCCCTGACTATACGAGCTCGCCTTAAGCCGACACGGGTGAAAAAAAAAACAGTTGGTGCGCATGACAATTTGGACGCCAGACTGTCAATTCGAGCATTCTACGTCACACTTCCCACGGGCGTACTAAGACAAATTATATTACTTTTTATTAATAACGCGCTATTTTAATAATAATTATTATTGGAACATTTGTTTCAGCTGCGTGTTAATCAAAAATAATTTATTGAAGTGATTTTTTTTAAATTAAAAAATGTCAGTTGAATGTAATAAGTGTTAAATTTAATTTTGATGCTCCTTTTTAGTGCATTTCGATACGCACATGTGGGCGCCAAAGTGTCAAATATCACCTCGCTATTCGGCTTGATTTTGTTGATCGGCTTTGTTCTTCCAGTTTGATCTGTGATATAGTTCAGTGGAGTACTCACATAAGAATCCCCACAGACCTTTTATATATATTGTTTATATGCTGCGTTTGAGAATCCACATCGGATGCATCTGAGATGTAAAAAATCTTTGATCACGTGATTCAGTATACGTAAATGTAATGGGACAGATGTGTCCGATGTGGATAAAAAAACGCTCGAGATGTAAAAAATGCATCCGATGTGGATTCTCAAACGCAGCAATAGACAGTACACTCAATGTATAATTTTCGTAGCTGATTTCAGCGCCCTCACAGTGGTTGGGGTTTAAACTAAACGATGGCGGCAATTTTTGAATGTCTGAATAATTTTTTGGAAGCACGCTTTGAACGTGGTTATTATGTGTGCCATTAAAGTTGAGATTTGATTACAATAAGCAAACAAATCGTAACTATAATGGTTTAATCATGTTTTGGTGCTACTTTTTTTTATGAAATGAAACCATTTATTATATTTATAACGATTTATTTATAAAATGTAAATTTCGGGTATTATTTTAACTAAAACTAAAAATAGCTAAAAATAAGGCAATAATAATAGGTACATGCAAAATATTAAGATAAAATAAAAAAGATTCAAGTGTTTCTATTTTTAGCAAGACGTATTTTACCATTAAAATAATGTAACAACCTGGAACCCGGAACACTTACACTTTGCAATCATGACTGAAAGTTTATCCATTATCTCAAATGTAATGTGGTCACATTAATCCTTCCTCCATGTGGTCCACAAAGCACAAACATTAATAAATACCCCCATAAAGTTCACATTTTTGTCAACATTTAGCGTTAAAGTCATGACGCACGGTCCTTATATTTATTACTTTTTCTTATTATATTTATGTATATTAATTTAATTTAAAAAAATAAAACTTTAATGTTTTTGGTGTTTTATTTATGACCTACAAATCTGTAAATTACAAATTTGTGAAAGCAAATATATTTAAGTAAATAAATGTAATTTATACATACTATCAATTATTTAATATTCTAAATTTCGACAGTTACACAACTAAATATCTAATTTTCTTGACAATAAAAAATTGCAATATTGTACAAATAGAAAATTGTTCTTAAATAAAAGATAAATTCGAGGATTAGTTTATTAGCGAACAAACACAGCATCCAAATTAAAGGGATTCAAAAAGGAACTGTATCTAATTTGCAAAAATAGATCAAATGTGAATTTATTTCTCATACCATTGAGATTTTACCACCCCTTCTCCAGTTTTTCATTTCTAGCTAAAAACTAGATACTAAACTTTACAAATTTCCCAATTTTAACATTTTCTACTTTGATTGAAAAATGTACAAGTTATAAAATTAATTAAAAAAAAACTGACGTCTCCAAAAACGAAGAGTGATTATTTTCTCATGAATCCCATCATCAGATTTTGACTAAATTTATATGGAACCATCCCCTAGGTACCCCCTTTCTACAAAAAAAAAAGAATCAGAAATACATAAAATATATTCCGATGAATTGAGAACCCCCTCCTTTTTTGAAGTCTGTTAAAAATAGAAAATACATTGGAAATATCACCACAGTAAATGTGTTTTGCACACAGTATAACTAAACATTTTTAATTTTGAAAAAATAATGCACAGTAGAAAGAGCGAGATTTAGCTTTCCAAAATGTGCTTTTCCATGGTGACAAAGGGGAACAGAAAATGTAAAGTAAGTACAAGAAAAACAATTTTAGTTTATACAAAAGGGACAAAATATATTTAAATACTGTTGCCTTAAACTAACTGTTACACAAATCACAGATTTTAAGCACTAAAAGGGCAGCTAAATGAGTATTTTCCTCTTTTTCTAGTGCCTTATTGGAACCTTTTCTTCATTTAAGCCATTCTATTTATTTTAAGAAATTGTATTCATGTGTAAAACATTTTTTCTCTGAACCGACTGTCCTTACTTCTGTCTGTTAAAAAATATAAACGGATGTCGAAAAAAAGATAGGAATATTGTTAAAATTAATGTTTAAAGGAAATTATAGGCATGAATGTTGATTATTAAACCTGTTTACTGTGTAGGTATATTAATTCTTAGGAGTAATTCCTTACATTGAACACAAGATTCATTGAAACCTCTGGCATTACATTGAGTTGGGATGATTAACCTATTTTTTTACCGTAGCAGTAAAGGTTGAGCCTCAGTTTTATTTTTTACTTTATTTGTAATTAATTTTTGAAAAATACAACCAAATAAACTTCATTTTTATAAATTTTAGTAAAAATCACCCGTGATCAGCTGGAGTGGGTTTAGAAACCTCACACGGCGCGTCTGGACCATAGGGGCTTATAACATACACATATTATGGAAGCGACAGACTGTTATTTGAAAAAGCGCAGTTGCCAGTTTTAATCTTAGTTATAAATTCATTAGCTAACGAGAGATTTTAACGATCGTTCTTGCAACCGGCTGTCAGAGTTATAATGTTAAATGAAGAGTTACTACTATTTTTATGGTAAACCTCAATTTTGTCATTGTAAATGTTTTTTTATAGGATCCTAAACATTTAGGACAGGTAGCATATCATTCCTAGAGCGAATAAAGCACTTTCTAGAGATGTTGCTGTTTGCGAGCTACACTTTTTAGAAGATATTTCCAAATATTATTACTGATGGTAATGTTACCAAAATAAAAAGTTGAAGGCCAGAGGATGAGGAATACTATGTATATTTCCGAAACTCCCTTTATATTTGTATTATAAAAATAAAAATCATTTGTATTTTAATTGTCTATTAAAACTATATTTAGGTATAATTCAAAAAAATTTAGCCACAAAATTGTACTTACCAAATTTTACCATTTAAATAATTTATCACTTAAAACATGCAAGACTTATTTAGAAATAAATACAACAATAGTTTCTGTGCTTTATTTCACAATAAACAAGTTTATTTTTATTATTTTTACAAAATTATGTTAAGTTACCATAAGAAGCTATGTATTTTTAACATCCCTAGCAACACCAGTGCCCCTGCGGTGATTTGTAAAAGCTTAAATAGCGTTCGTTTTTGGAGACAGTATTTCAGGTATGCCGATACGACTCCTTCTCTCTACTCTTCATAGATTCTAAAACATATTAATTGGAATTATCCACATACTTTGATTTTCTTTTATTATACGGAGAATGGTCGCACTGCGCAGCTTTCTGAGTGCCATTTAAAAGGAGATAGAAAACTCCGCCATTTTGAACCCTTATTACGTGTTGCCTACATCTTGGCGCAATATTTTTAATAGGTGCGTTTTAATAATTTGCTTCTGCTTCGGAATTATCGGTTTTCTTGTTTTAATCTGACAGGTTAAAACGGCTAAACCGACAATTCCGGAAGCAGAAGCGGATGATTATAACGCACCTGATATTTTGTTGCTGCTGTCAGTGTCAGTGAATATTATTTTTGAAGTCACAGTTTATTGCTAAAGAATCAGTTAGCTCACTCGAAGCAGTTGAAAGTTCCAAAATAACATCCACTCCAGGGATACAAATTCAGGATACGCAGAAGACTGCTGTTTTATTATAGGCGGTTGTCATATATTGTATTATCCGAGTTGCACAGTGTATAAACTAAAACACTGAGATCAAAAGTGCCGACGCAGAGTGAGCGATCTGATTCTTTAGCTGTAAACTGTGTCACAAGGTTCAAAATGGCCGCGCCCTATGTTGGGCGTGTCGGACCTCTCTCTTGCCTCGTATAGTAATCAAAGTATGTGGAATTATCTCAGAACTTCCAACCTCAAAATCGCTCTTTACAATCTTCAATAAAAAACTCTATCATTCTTTGGTCTGCTATATTTGTGTGCCCCTGTCGGGTGCCAAATGTAATCTCCAATTCATCGATGGGTCGTGGGTAGTTGAGGGAAATACAGACAGTCGTTGAAGGTTTATTTATCTCAAAATACAGCGTCAACACAATAGCTTGAACACAGCACAAAACATTCAAACAGATCGCACCATGACATTCGCAAGGCTCTTCTGATCTCCGAACATCACCAGCTCCCCTCTTAATGTCCAGCCGTTAGGTGGCGGTGTAAGGTTTCAGACACAAACGAAATTATGAAACTATTGTATAGGGTGGGCGCGTTACAGTGTCATCAGCAAATAGAGTGAAAGTACGAGCAATGTTGAGTTAAGTAATTTATATAAAGAAGTAATAAAATGGGACTCAAAACAAAACCCTGCAGGACTCCCCAACTTATATCTAAAACTTCAAAGTACTTAGTAGCTCTTACCTTACTATTTGCTTACATTCTGAAAGAAAATATTTTATCAGCACTTTGTCTTTGATTCCTTAAACTAAAAGCTTTTGCAAGAATACTGTATGATTGACACACTCAAATGCCTTAGTCAAATCACAGAATATCTCCGCTACAGTTGTTAAAATTAATTTTAGAGTAAGCAAGTTCAAGACAAGAGAATATCGTAATAAAAAACAGGTGGGCGGAAGAGTCGATCCAGTCCTGATAATTGATATAGGCAACCAATAATGGATAAATGTACAATTTTCGATGCATATTCTCCAAAAACTCCGTAATGCTCTATTTAATAATTTTAACTTTTAGGTCTAAAAAAGAAAAATCCAAAATGATTAAATTTATTTATTCCCTTAATTCCTATAAATACAATGTATATAATGTTTATATTGTCTCTCTCTATATATATTCAAATTCATATTTAAAAATTCCTAATGATCACAGGATCAAATTTTAAAAAGTACACCAATAAAAAACACTCAACCAATTCACATTTTACAGATCCGTCCTGCATACTTCATTACTGTTGCTGAAACAGAAAAAAGTTTTACAATCGTAAGCATACAGATTTCATACTAAGTTGGGTTAACATTAAGAAAACACTAGGATTATTATTTGATATGAATGGATCATCTACGTACATAACTTTAATTACTAGGGATAAAAACATGTTAAAAATAATCTTTGACCAATTTAATATTTTACAGTAAAACAATATTCTCATGCACTGTTGACTTTCATGATAGCGAAATAAATAAAACAAGACATAAAATGTACATACCGCCAAAAGAAATGTTGCGTGAATTCGCGCAAGCTGTGACTTAAGCAATGGTTTATCGTGGATGAAGTTTGGGTTTTGATTTTGGTTGCATATAGTATTGCACTTCCCTTGATAAAGTACTAGTCGAACTCCACCTAGACATCTATCCATAACCACAAAATTGTTAGCCAAACACCGTAATATAAAAAAGAATTATCTAGAACACTATTTTTCAATTAAAACCAACAGATTTAGGTTATTTTTTATCTCAATCAGATGACTATTTCGACATTAAACACAAACACACGTCACTTTTGTGCTCTAAACAGAATTGTTAAATATACAGCGCGGCCTAAAAGTATATATCTGCAAACGTTATTGATATATTTAAAGGTTTAAATACTTTTCGGTCACTCTGTATAAAGTGATGACAAAATATAGGTTGATCCACAAAAATGTTTCTAAGTACAGCTACCTACAATTGGAGTGCATTGTTCGTCGAATTAATCTTGGCATCGTGAATATAATATTTTATCAATGAATAGTTATATATCTGTTATCTCTGGAATAAACCCTATGTAGATTCATAAAAGATATTGGTTTTGATATATGAAGCGTGGTAGTAAAAGTATAATGTTAGAACGAAATGACATCATTCATTGGCGGCACATGAATTTAAGAGCCATCAAACAATATCGCCAACAAAATTGTAACATTATCTATTTAGATGAGACTTGGATCAACGTCGGTCGAACGGTTAATTATGCATGGTGTGATAACACCATAACAATACTTTTATGATTTTATAAAGGGTTTAATCACAGGCCTAAAAGAACCTACACAAAGAGGTCCACGCTTCTTTATTCTTTATGCAGGATATGAAAGTGGATTTTTATCTAAGCAATGGTTTGACGAGTCGCTGATTCCTAACTTACCCAAAAATGGGTGAAAGATCGTTGTTGTTGTTGTTGTTATAGATAACGCTTCATATCATTCCCGTAAATTTAGTTTTCCAGCTGCCTCATGGAACAAACCCGAAATAAAAAATTGGCTGTTTGAAAAAATTCTTTTCTTTAACTCCTATTTAAAATCTGAGCTGCTTGAAGTTGCCAACGCATACAGAGAGCAATATGACAAATATTAGATTGAGAAAATAGTTGCAAAATACAAGATAACTGTTTTACGCTTGCCACTTTATCATTGCGAGCTTAATTCAATCGAGATGGTATGGAATCAGGCAAAACGCTTTGTTTATATAAACAACTTTGATTTCAAGACAGATGATATTCGTTCATTGATAGATGAAGCATTTGAAAGTATTACTGAACAAAATTGGCGTAATTGCGTTGCACATGTCAAAGAAAAAACGGAAAAAGAAACGTGGGTCGCTGATAATCTCTAAGACAACGTTGATGAATTCATTACAAGAGTAAATATTGGCGACAGTTCTGAGAGTGAGATTTCAGACCTCGACGATGACTTACAGTAACTTATCTATTGCGTAAAATTTGTTATTTGTTAATTTATAAATTTGTAATTTTGAAATTCATAAGACCTTAGTATGTCTCACACTATAGTCATTTTTTACCAAAACACAATTTTATAATCTAGTCAAAACTGAAAGAAACATTTTTTTTGCATGCAACGCGTTGGGGAAATGCCGTTCATCTTGCGGGAGCTTGCACCTCATCCCGCAAATATTCACTCGTTAAACAAAAAAGTCATTTCGTAACTGGTTACATAAATAGATCTTTACGACCTGCAAACAATATTACAAAAAAAAAATCAAAAACGTATAAGTCAAATTAAATGACAAATATATTTTTAAAGTTGATTGTTAGTGAAATACAAATTATGCCATACTAATATAGCATATTGCACTGCCACTCTAGATCTGTGGATTACATTCAGAGACGTCCGTAGTTATCACAGGCTAGACTCGTATCTCTGTCTTTGTCGATCAAGGCCTACTTTAGAAACATATTTTTTGTGGATCACTCTTTATTATTACGTATGATGATTTGAATCTTTATAGCATTCTAGACAACCTAACAATTTTTTTTAAATTTTGGTTATGGTTAGTATGTTCACAAAAACACAGTGTACATTCTAAATGTTTGCTCAATTGTTCATGCTTAGGAGAAAGATTCTAATAGTGATAGAAAAATGAAAACAAACATTGTGCAAAATGATGAATGATGTAATTATGAAGAAATGCTTGAATGAAAATTTTGTTAAATTATGAAAATAAAGCGTGATTAAAGAATACATATATACAAAACAGAAAACTATATAAAAATGATCATGCCAAACCACAAAAATAGCTTGCTTACTTTTTCCTTAAGAATCGTTAGTTTTCCTTTTCTGAATACAACAAATTTTATAAATATTAATAAAGTAATCTGGTATTTCTTAAAAAGTACATAACTTCATAAGTATAATTCAAAATCTATTACTATCAAAATAATCATTTACAATTCAGTACATTGAAAACAAAATATTGGCTAGATATTGGCTGAGAAGCACTCAAACTTTATTTGCCATTGTAAACGTGCAAATAAGGCAGAAGGGGGGATGAAAAACATGAGAGAAACGTCATACAAAAAAAAGGCATGGAATTATCAATTAAAATTATAGGTTTGTTCGGGTTTCTTTAAAACTTGATGCAAACCGTCCTAGAACCAGTGGAACAGTTGAATTCCAAATTATTCATTGGGTACAACTACATATTAAACTGTCCACTGATAGTTTTCAATGTATTTTTGATAAACTGAACAGATCTATTAACTATGAAACATAACTCAATAAAATTTTCAAAAATAAATATTTGTGTGCCCATCAGTCAATGTAAACATCAAAATCACGTCTATCGGTCTATGAAAAATATATATCAAATAAACCTTTATAATTTTTTTAACAACCGAGTTGAATACATCTATCGTTTTTGTATGTATTTTTTAAGAAATATTTGTTAGTTATTCTGTATTTATTAAAGTTATATAAAAATAAATGCAATTCTTTTTGTTTTACCCAAAAGCTCTATAAATCAGTTTCTTTGTCTTATTTTTATTTCTAATTAATATTTATATATAAAAGTTACTTATTTACCTGTTGGTCTCCCATGTAGGGCACCCCGCCCGGCGTAAGGAAGTCTACGGGAGCATTAGGATCGGTAACAGGTTGAGGAACAAAAAAATTCATTTGAGGCGCGGCCGAAGGCATCTGAGATACTGTCGGCAACGAAGTAGGAGCGGAGTTAGTTGGTTTACCGCCAGCGTTAAAGACGTCGATATATGAATTTTTCAAATCTGAAAACAAGAATATTTATTAAACAGATCTATTGGTCACATCGATATTGTCACGTAAAGCGTATTTTTTATAAAGAAATGATACGATTCACGTGTTTTAAATAATTATGGGACTATCTATGTCTAGGGGGTTGAATAACAAAATGTAACACTCTGGGCCTAAATAACGTAAGAACTCTATATTGCCTTAAACTTGGCTTCGTAGCCCTTAACTGTATAAGGGTTCTGCTCTTGATGTTAGAACCTAACACGTCTCTGTAAAAGGGCTGAAGGAAACACAATGTTTTCTCAAAACAAATATAATATTTTAATTACAACGATTATATAAAATGTCTTAACTCGACATACACAAATATAGGCTCAATATAATATAAAAGACAATAAAATACTTACTTAGCAACTCCACTAATATTTGGGCACATGTCACAACCCTTAGCTAAAAATGCAATTATTCAAAATACAAAATAAAGACTTTTAAATTAGACTATGAAGATCATGAGCTGGAGCTGCTACTGGGAATCTCCTACAAGGGGGACCTCCTATGGGGAGGATCCGTTCCCTGTTGAAAAAAGCTCTGGGCATCCCCTCGACATTACTTTTATAACTTCTCCATAGTTTTTTATTATGAAACTAATGTTTAATAATTATTAAATAACCAACCTTGCACATTATTGCAATTTAAAACAAATTGTCGACATAATTATAAAGTTTTATGTACAGGATGTTATTTAAATAATTAATTAAAATTAGGAAAAATATGAATTTATACGAGTCGTGACAATATTAAGCTTAATTTATAACCGCCGTAACGTAACTTAAGAACTTAACGTACCGTTGAAAGTTCGCCAACTTTTAACTTAGGGTCAGCCAATGAGATAATTCTGAGTACAGCATCTGATAACTGCCTATTCTTCTTCTTATTTTTTTTTAATAATTGATTGGACAAATATCATTTGTAAACTATTATTCTCTTTTTTTATGGACATTATCATGAATGTTTACGTTTGAATGTTTTGTGTTTATGTTGTTGAGAATAAAATATTTATGAGAGATGAGTGTTTGTTTCTACATACACAAAACTATTTTCCTAGAGAATATTAAATTCTGATTATTGCTCAAAAACAATCAACATCTTCAGTGAACTATTATGTTTTATTATATTTTTATATTATTACTTAAGTAGTTAATATATTTCTTCTATATAGCAAAATCATAATTTATAGGTTTTATTTAGAGGTTACATACTTAGTTTACACTTGTTTATTTCATAAGGTTGTCTATAATTTGATAATCTGTGAAATACAACACGCATGCTCAACTTTTACGTTACGGACATTTATAAATAGACTTTATTTTTATATCTTACGTTAAGTTTCTACGGCGCGTTAAGTTACGTTACGGTGGTTATAAATTATACATTAGAGTTCCTAATGGAATGAAAGACCACTTCACCAGGAAGGTTATTCGTATCCTTATTATAAAAAATAAAAATAATCATTTATATATGCAAAAACAGTATTAGGCCCAAGAATTGACACCTGAGGTATACCCTACTTGTATATCTGTGTTAAGCGCTAACCTGAAAATATTTATATCCTTGTATTAAAAAGACCTAAAGGATAGCTTCAAACCCAATTATTTTAAAAATTGATAGATTTTCACATAATGTCTTATTCATATACAGAGTGTTAGTATATTCAACCAATAATGCTTTACCACAGAGAACTCTCATTAACTGACGAGTTTTGATATAGGAACATTAACCCTTAAAGGACTTAGTTACCGAGATAGTAGGTGAAGTTTGAAATCAAAATTCAAAATTTAGCATAAATAAAAAAAGACCTTAAATATTTTTTTCAAATTTGGTGACCAATATGCTCATTAAGAAAGTAATATTTTGACAAACTAACTTTTGAAAAATTTAACCAGTGGCACTCTAGCAGGGTTAATGGCAACTTTTTCCCCCTTGTTTTTAAGCCACTGAAACAAATATTATTTTTGTTTTAATTTGACTGTTTATTTTCAGTTAAAAAAAGAATAACCCTTTATGGAGCTGAAATGAACGGTGTTGCAGTCTGCATGTACTTAGATAATTTGTAACGTTTCAATATTTCTAAATTCTAATCTTGTAGACACATGTTAAATTTTTAAGAGTTCGTGTATTTGACAAGCTCTTGGTATGTCAAATTTGAAAAAAATATATTTTAATGCGTTTTGGATTTATGGCAAATTGTGAATTTTGATTTTAAACTTTTAACACCCTGTATCTCGGTAAGAGTGGTTTACCCATTGAACTTCATGAACACTCATCCAATCACTGAACTAATATAATTTATGTTCAGTAACTAGTATTAGTTTTAAATATGTTTTTGTTTAGTTTTTTTTTATGAGTGCATTGGTGTTTGTGTGAGGCAGAAATAACAGATATAATCATTCATTGATAAAATATAATATTCACGATGCCAAGATTAATTCGACAATCGATACACTCTATTTGTAGAGGCGGGGCGAGGAGACGAAAGGTGAGAAGTAAGAGAACGGATAAAGAGAAGAATTTTACGCAGATACAACTTATTTTGATCAATGAATAAATGTGTAAGACGCTGTGCACTTATAATAAACAACGTAATTCATGCCAGTATAAGCCCTGTTGCCACTTCCAACTTAGCATGACTAGGTTTTGGAATTTTGGAACTAATAATTCAAATTTTTTACAACAGCGGGTATTATACCCCCCTGTGTCCATTAGAATATGTCTTATTCAGGAACACACGATATTTGTTAGTAGTTATCTCGTTATCTCTGGTGTGAGGTGATTGTAAGCTGCATTAAAAAATTAGTGTTGTTATATTCTGTTATTAATTTATTGTAGTGGCAGTTAATAAAATTCTATTCCATTTTAAGTTCTTTAAAGGTTCATGTTCCTATATTATAATTCCTCAATTAACGAGAGCTCTCATGGGTAGGGTCCGATTACAATTAGAACACAGCTACGTCATCATATGGAAAAGTAATTAATTGAATATAACCGCCTATTGGGGGTTTAGTGGAGTATTAATATTATAGGAATATACGAAATATCGTTTTATACCTAATTAACTTATTTTTTATTTATTGATAGTTATAGATAATATGTATTTGAAATTCGAAGTAGGTAATGGTTATGACGTAGCGGTGTTTTTCTAATTGTAATCGGACCCTAGTGTTGTCGGTCGAATGTACTAACACCCTGTATTTTTTAAAATTCCTATGAGATTTCGAGAAAAAAATTATTTTGTTCAGAGTTTTTCAATTTAAAAACGTTACGTTTCTAGTTTCATATATGGCAACATTGTCTAGTCGTGAAGGCTCTATCTGTATCTGTAACATGGGTTGCCCCACAGCACATAGTCATTAAACAGTCTAATAATAATAAAAAACTATAGGAATGTTATAAAATTTATCTCAAGATGTACACTACTTTTTCCACAGGGCAGGATTCTCTCTGTAGGAGACCCTCCTCGTAGGAGATCCTCAGTAGCTGCTCCAGATCTTGTAGACTTCGACCAGAGGCTGTAGATCTACATAGTGAAAGTTGTCTTTTTGTATTTTGAATCGCGGTTTTAACGTTTGGTTAAGGGTTGTGACATGAGCCCCCAGATATTTATTGGAGTTGGTAAATGTATTTAACTTTGTATCTTGTTTGTTATATCGAGTACACATTTTTTTTTGTATGTCAGATTGCAACCAATTTTTGTATAGTTTTAAATATAACATATTTTGATAAGACTGTGTTTTCTTCGGCCTCTTTACAGAGATGTGTTAGGTTCTAATATCAAGCGTAGAACCCTTATACAGTTAAGGGCTAAGTAGCCAAGTTAAAGGAAATATAGTGCTTATACGATTAAGGCCCTAATTTATAAATTTTGTTGTTTAAGCTCTAGGACGCATACATTCTCATAATTATTATTTAAAGAGTACAATATTTTGATCTTTTTCATCATTCATATATTCTGCCAATACTTACTTCTGCCTTTTTGTAGTTTAAACATATTGTTGCCAGGCGTTGGCATCGAATTAACGTTCCCTTGATCATCTGTGACGGTTGCAGAGCTGTTTCCCATTGGTACACCTCCGTTGGCAGTTAGCGTTCGATTGGGATCAAAAGTGGGCATGGAAGTATTAGAATTAGGGGTGGAATGAGCTTGGGACTGCGGTGGGCCCATCTTAGGCATTAGTTCTGACAATTTCGGAGGCGGTTTGAATTCGTTAGCTGGATCATCTGCGTCGTTGTCCAAGTTCGACCAGCGTTTTTTTGCTTCGTCCCATACAATCTAAAAATTAACGCAAATTAGCAATTGAATCATTTATTTTGGAAAGATGGTTATATATTCGTAAGTGACTGTTTATAGGCGCGGTATTTGCAATAACGTTTTAATGAAAGCAAAGAAATATCAATTCCAACGAAATTATTTAAGTAAAAACACAATTTTGGTCCTTCAAGCTCTTAGAATGTTTATAGAAAAGATTTTAACATAAACCCTACCTTCGGATTCTTATCATCAGGCAATTTCATCTGATTTTTAGGTTTCAACGCCAATTTACTAAATATCCCACCGAACCATCCAGTACTTTGACTCTTTGCAGCTTCGACAGGCGCCCGTGGTTTAGCCGGTGACGAAGGTTTTTCTTCTTTGTTTTCTTGTTGATGGTCTCCCTCGTAGTAGTTAGGCTGGTTGGGTAGCGTTACCTGAGGCTGAGGTATATCCTGAGAAACAGTACAGAGCGACAATTTACTATACTATATAACCCTGCAGATAGATTGGTAGAATATGGAGGGAGAGACAACTTTCTAACAATTATTTGTGTAATAAAATGATTTTGTTTGCCTTAACATAACTTTTACTTACTTTTGGTTATAATATTGTATAGGAATAATTATTGTCATACATTATACAAGGTGTTTCAGAATTTTGTAATTGTCTCTACATAAAATATAAAAAATTCCATATCTACTTATCGGTTGGCTTAATATTGAAACACCTTGTATATAGAAGGTGTTATATTTTACCAATCTATTTTTTAAGTGGAAATATTCAAAGCAACATCATGTTAGTATGAGCTGAAAAGTTGTGCTAAAACCAAAAACACACTAAAATAAGAAGTATTTAGAATTTTATCAAGTAAGCCATACATTTGCATCAAACTGTGTAGTTTTCTTAAAATTCTAAATATTCTTTTGAAAGGTGAAAGTTTGCAAGGTTTTATTTAAACACCGAGGTACGTTTTACCACAATTTTATTGAACATAAAAAATTACACAAGCCTGTAAATTGACAAAAAAATAAAAGATTCTTCCCCACGATTCCATAAACCCCATAACAATGTCAACTACACTATAAACTATGGTACACGACATGTAGTTTCGTTTGCATTTGTTTTTCTATATAAGTTTGCGGTTTAGTATTTTTAATCTATTTATTTATTAAGTCAGGAATATTTATTACTAATGTTGGCCAACTTGGGCCATTATCAGATCTGAAAGAAAAATAATTCTCGGAATTGGATGGTAATTATTGTGCATAACAATTATTAAAACTTTTTTGAAAGAAAATATGAAGAAGGGTATTTTTTTATTGGTTTATTTTTTAATTGTCAGTCAATTTGACAGCTGATTTGTGTACAGTTTGGTTTTCCATGTCACCATGAATAGACTGTTGTTTCAACAAGTCAGCTCAACATTCCACATAGCGGGCAGCATAATCAATGTATTTTGAACGATACATTCGATAAGCACAAAATTACGTGCAATCTGTGATCTAACATCTTGGATTATTTTCTGCGGAAATATGTGAAATATGCAGTGTACGCCAATAGACGACTTGGAAGCCAACATCAGCAGCGTTATTACTCTAAAATTGGACTTCCAGATTGAGGTTAATTCTTACCACGACTCCCATATGCCCGAAATTATATTTAACCTCTAATGGCACACAAATATCTTTACAATAAAGTCAATACCATGACCATAACAATTATTTTAATGTTTTATTTAATTGCAAAATTCAATACCCCTAAAAAACACTAAACTACTTTGCTTGACAAGTTCTACCAATTAATTGATAAAAAAATAGATTAAAAAACCGAACCATTTCATCACATGTGTCAACATTTAACAGTAACATCAACAATTTAGGCGCTTTTATTGTGTATAGAAATAGAAATTATCACGTTTAAAGCTATATTATATATACAAGGTGGATTATTAGTTACTTTAAATGTATAGAAAAAAGTATGATATGCCAATTTGATGAAATAAGTTTATCAATAAAAATATTACACATTTCTTATACTAATATATCACCTTGTATAAAAACAAATTTTGAGAGGGTAAACTAATATGTTATGAAGCCCAATGTACGCAATACACAATTTGAATTGAAAAATCACAACGATTTATTAAAAAAAGAGCAATATTGAAATTTGAAAGTATATTCTTTTTACGATTTTGATAATAGTTACAATAATTTTAGAACAACGTCGTAAAAAATGTTATGTATATTATATTCTTTTGTTGTTTGCATAAAATAAATTTAAAATTATGAAATAAATGAAAGTATGCAAAAAACTGTATAGATATATATTATATTGGGTACTCTTGGTAACCATCAAAATATCACATTTAGTTACGTAGTGCAGTTAAAGGTTCCTTTGAGCCACTTTAAAGTTTCGACATTTTTTTTATTTGTAAGTAAAATAGCGAAGGACTGAAAATTTATTGTCACATTTTAAAAACTCCTACAGTATACATTTCAGGCATTCGACATGTGTAATAAGATACCAAAATATCGAATAGAACAGATATGCCTCGTTTACATTAAATTTGTTCGCAAAATAATAATTATGACGAGACGATATTCACATCAAATCTCTAAAAATATCATAGAAATAATATAGAAGACCAATATAAATGGAACATTTAAGCAGACAACCTATAATATTTAAATAATCAGCTGATAATATTTACACAAATATATTAAAGACATGTTCACCTAGATTTAGATTGAGTTGGCAACACCGCTCGAATAGGAAGTTTCTAAGGATATATGACGCTTACCTTTGGGACGTTCTACAATCTTTCTTGTAGAACGCGTCTATTCGTGATATTTTGGCTTGAATTTGTGTGTTAGTTTTGTGTAGTTTTAAATTAAATACTAGGTACAATAAAAGACACTAATATTGTCTGATGAAAATGTAATTAATGTATTAAGCATATGTATTATTGATTGTAAGATGTATCTGGAGAAGGGTATTTAGATAAGATGTATGTCTAGAAATGTATACCTACTTCTGATTATACAAATAAAGACCTGTTTATTTATATACAGGCTAGCCAGCGACGGGGAATACTATCTGCATCTGAATCTGACAAACTAATGAATGGATTTTGTTAAAAATTTGGCATTCCAAACAAATGAATTGCCAGTGGGGAGATTTGGTATATCTAAGGGTTGCGGCATACGATGTATTTTATCTAATATACGTAAAATCATGAATAATGGATTATATTTAAATATTTTATGTCAAACACAATAAAAATAATATTTAAAAAACCCGTTTATACATTTCTTCATAAATTGGCAGGCTTGGCGACTACTATTTCGAATAAAAATAGCGTCCAAGATGCAAGACTATGTCGCTACCCCCTTTGACATATAAGAACTTCCCACTGGCACTTATTGTCTGACAGGTCGTTGGAATGCCTAATTGCTAACAAGTATTAAAAATTAAAAAAAAAAACGACTTCAAAAACGTGCAGATGCCACCACCACATCTTAACTAAATTTATATGGGACCACCCCCGAGGTACTCCCTTACTAACAAAAAAAGAATCATATAAATCGGACAAGGCGGTAAAGAATTATCGCTAAACATACATAAAAAATGATGAGTTTGAAGATTTTCTCATGGACCTAATTATTAGATTTTAACCAAATTTATACAGGACCACCTCTTTCTAAAAAAAAAAAAAAAAAAGAATCATTGAAATCGGACACCGTGTTATAGAATTATAGCTGAACATACATAAAAAAAAATATTGCGACGAATTGAGAACCTCCTCCTTTTTTGAAGTCTGTTAAAAATAGTAAACAGATCTTTCCATCTAAAATGTTTTGACAGCTCTGTCATTTCCGCTTATAACGAAAGTAGATGTAAAATTTATTATTTTAAATGGTATGCCATTTCTTTTATTCCCGATACCGATAGGAAATAAAATTTTAGGGACGTTTTGTACAATAAAGTGTCATAGATAAAATTGGTAATATACAGGGTGAGTCATAAGTAATGGGTCAAACTGTAACTGTAGATTCGGAAGGCAAAAATAAAAATATTTTACTCAACAACAATGAGTCTGAGATCGCTCCTTTCTGATCCACAGGCTGTTAAAGTTGGAAAAAAATATATATATTTTTGTTAATAAAGAAGCCATTTTTTTGAGATACAGGTTTGAAAATTGGGGTAGTTTTATTTTTTATAGGGGCAAACAAGAATTGGGTCGCCTTGAGTGCTATAGTTAAATCAGCTGTTAGTTGATGCTCACGCATTGTTCTATTTGACTTAATTATTAATTATTTCTGTTAGACAGCAATAATTTGTCTAGCGCTCAATAGGAATAGATGCAATTTTCTCACAGCAAGAAAAGCAACAATTTTCAAGAAAATATAGAAGTATTTTTAATTTTGTATCTTGATAGATGCAGACATTATCTATCTTAGATAATATTATGACTATGATACAGACAGCAATAATTTGTCTACCGCTCAATAGGAATGGGTGCAATTTTACTCACAACAAGAAAAATGTAGAACTGTAGTGGCCCTTATAGTTATTTTTTTTAACCCTCCGCCTTAAATTAAGTAAATCTAGTTTGTATGAATGCACTTATTTATCTAAGTTCTCTATATCAAATCGATCTCAACAAAATGATGTTTAAAAGTATTTCTGTACAGTTTTGAAAAAAAATCAGGTATTTCCAATTTAAAGTGTTTTGTATCTGTTTCGATACGTGCTATAATAATAGTTGTATGGTGTGAAAATAAAAATTACTATTTAAATTGACTTAAAAACCATTATGTTGAGAACATTTTGTGCAGTGATACGCACCATCTAAAAAAAAGCTTTTAAATAGGCTGATCTATATCAAACGTTCTAGCAGGACCGTATTCCCTCATTTGCGGCATTTGACAATTATTAGTAACTTTCTTATTTTTATTCGATCTTAATTCTAGCCCTCTAGCGATGGTTTTATTATCAAAAGTAGGAAAATCAATCGGATAAGTACCGCCGAAAACCAACGGTTTGAATAACACTTCTTTTTCTTTTTCAGTGCCGGCTTTGAAAATGGAATTTTTGAGGTTGGAAAACACGTAACGCCCTCCCTTTTTAGCCCACGCGTCTACCGTATCGGTTATTATATCGTGTTTGTGTCGTTTCTTATCGAATTTGGTAACTTTGTAATCGGACGTGAAGTCTTCGGCCGATATAGATACTTTGCTTTTTGGTTCTAAATATTTAATCACCGTTTTGGCGTCCGGTATATCTAGGGATTTATATTTAACTAACGTCCCTTTTCTGTCGTTACATTTCATATCGAAAGTGTTGTATCTGGTGTGCTTCGAATCGTTTTTGATGGTTATGATTTGAGTGTTATCCTTGTAACAGATCAGTTGCGATTTTTCCTCGTCCTTATAAGACACGTTCTTTTGCCTACGTCTACCGATGTAAGTTTCTACTTCTAAGTCGCTACTGTCGCGCGACGAACAGCTTCTATTGTAACCCACCGATTCGACGCTGCGCGAACTTTTACGCTCTTTTTTGAGCTTGCGCGTTTGCATATCGTCGTCGGGAGAGAGAATCATCGGGTTGAGGTTGTTAGTGGTTAATCTTTTGCGTAAGGATGTGGCCACTTGCATAGAGAGTGGTGTACTTACTTCGGGGACGTCTTTGTCTACGTCTGTCGGCTGCGTCCGGGAAGAAAGCGTCAAAAATAAGCCAAATTAGATCATAGCGGGATCGTAACATATTAATACAATCAATAGCAACTTATCCGACATTTACTCAACAACTTGTAATTAAAATTGCTTAATATTTATAAAACTAAAATCAAATTCATTTGTATTACCCATACACTACTTAATTAAAGTAAAATGATGAGATTTTAACCAAATGGTTGATTTGATATACAGTGTGGCACCGAAAACGAAACTGTATTCAGATTTGAACATTTTTCTTTATATTCTCATACTAAATTAACATCCTGTATATGAAATAAATTATATTTAATTAAAATCTTTATTTTCATATACAGGTACTATAAACTATTCTAATTTCATTTCAAGTTCAACATATATCGTAAAAACAAAAATGCTGAATTGTTATTTTAAAATCATTTCAAAACATTGAACTGGGATCGAAATTCGAATAATAATATTTTTCTAATGTACATTTAAGTAATTAAATAATATTAATTATTATTATTATATATTGTTTATTCTGTGATAATATAAATGTAGATGCAAACAACATGTGGTAGTATACTTTACAAAATTATCTCTAAAGATTATTCATGGTCCTTCGAGCCTTAAAAAGTTGTAGTATTAACCCAAATTAACAAAAAAACCCTAAAGGTCGACTAAACAAACTGATTAAATATTTTGAAGGATAATTTAAAAAAAAAATTAGGCATATCATATCCCCAACTGTCATATTATGTCGTTTTTCACCCTCTGCACCGCAACCAATACAATTTAAATAGGGAAAATACCAAGTATGACACATCATTGAAAAGGTAATTTTATGTACAATTTTAGAATATGACTGTTCATTGAGTTACTTTTGATTTTAGCGCCCTCTAGCGGGATAAACAATTGTTACGTATCGCAAAGTGTGACACTTTATTTGAAAGAAATTTATTAGTGATTGAGAATTCTATGAAAAGTAAATAAATTGTATATACTTTATAAAAAATATTAAACAAGTAAGTCCTAAGAAGTGCAAAAATATTATTTTAAAACTGTATGTTAAATCAGGCAAACGCCACCAAAGTTTGCATAGGTCGTGTCCAAATCTAGGTCATCTACTCCGAATTAGTGGTAATGGGGAATTCTCATATGAAAATGGAAATGTTTTATGCGTCAAATTTAAACAATTTGGTACAAAGTACTTTTTCTTCATTATATTTCATCTCAACTAGTGGCAACAACAAGTAGCATTTTAAATAGTATCAATATTTATTCATGTAAAATTAGCTTGCATATGATTATTTTAGCAAGTTTTTAATCACGCAAGAAGGCGCACAAAATTACCTTTTCAATGACGTATAATACTTTGTACTTTCCCTATTTAAAGTCTACTGGTTACTAGTTAGTGTAATTGAGGGGTGGTTAGCAACCTATGATAAAAAGGTGTCCCCATTGGAATACAAACCAACTGTTAAAAAATCTTCAAGATCTTAAAACTATTTCGTTTTCAGTGCCTCACCCTGTATAAAATGAGCAAATTTTGTGGAAGCGTCTCAAAACAAGTAAAAAAATTATGGACCCAAAATCCACAAATTATGATTAATAAGAAACATATTTGGGTTAAAAATATAATAAATATAAAATATTTTGGGAACATAATAACTACTTGAAATTAATGCATATTATCCCAGCGTAGCCACCCGCATGGTTTAGGCCAGACATAAGAGACATAAAGATAGGAAACGCAACGAAATGTATCTCAAATGTTAACTGAAGGTTATGTTTATTGTAGAATCCTGAATTTGACTTTATATAATAATTTTTGAGTTTATGAATGGTTAATATTGTAACTTGAACCAAGCGAAGTGGTTGTGGTTGTTTTTGTGTGAAATTTGAGGACAATAATCAGGTTTTGTAATATTAAAATATTTAATCGGGGCACATATTGTATTGGTAACACATGCCACATGCATAAATTTAACAACCCCAATGTGGGGTTCTTTATTTACCAAAGAAAGATCTGATCCTATAAGTAACACAAATAGTAGTCAACTTTTTATCACAAAATATTTATTTATTAATATTTATTGTTTTAGAACAAGAAAATGGCTTCATACCATTGGGAGAGAAGATTTGATATAGGAAGAAAAATATCTGAATTCCCATTACCGTCAATATTTCGCATCTGATCGGTTTCAAAAAAACTTATCAAAGAATAGTTATAAAAATAGGTGCAGTACCTATCGAGGTGTCATCAGTGAATTTAACATTAGTAGTGACATGTCATCCCTTTATTTATGTTATCAGAAAGCATACGATTTATTTTTAATAATATTTTTAAAAATGAGACACCATTGGGTCACTCAATTGGAAAATAAGAACAAAAATGTTTAAGTAAATCAAAAATTAAAAAATATATTTGTCATGAATAGATTTAAATAATTTGATAACAGACTGTAATAATTGTAGTATTCTTTTTAATAATTTACCTTAATTAATATTGTTTAAATTTATTCAACAGATTATGTGCAATAATTGATATTTACTACAACCTTTATCAGGTTTTTAAATTTCCCGCTTTTTTATTTGTTTGATATCGATGAAAGTGCCACTCAGTGCGTCAGATGTTAACTGCGTTCGAGCTGGTGGTTATAAATCAAATGTTTCTTATGAGCGTTTCTTGTTTTTATGTCCCTTATCTCTGGGTTAGGCTAAATGGTACATAAAAAACGGCACAAAAGTATATTGGTCAGTAGTAACTATATTTTAAATTAAAATATATATAAAAAATATTTTTTGTAATTATTGTAACATATATTAAAATTTAAAAAATTATGTACGTTTAATTTTAAGTTGTACCAGTTTGGAAACCACATATAATTTGTAACAAAAAATGTACTTTTTAAAATAATTAAATCATGATATTTAAAAATTTATTCAACTAACAATTTAATATTATTTAGATTTAAGCTGCAATAATTGTATATCAAATAAGTATATAACACTAAAAAAAATTAACGGAACAAATAAACTACATATTTATTAAAATCTTCTTACCTCAATTTGAGCATTAGAGCTATACACATTTTGTTGGTCGACATATTCTTGATTGTATTGATTCGACTGATCCAACTGTTGATAGTTCGGCCAAGAATTTTGTTGATTTTGCGAAAATTCTTTAAAAAATAAACAAAAAAATTAACGATAAAAAAAATTAATTTCCATCGCCTATTACTGAATGTATTATAGTCTAGAAAACATTTCAGGAAAATCGGAAAAATGCACTAGACTCATCCAGTGATGTTTTAAAATATTTTTATCTCATAATTTGGCCAACTTTAACACAGATGACCGGGTCCAATCGATCTGCGGCCGACACTGTGGCTGCAATTAATTCTTAAAATATGGATTTCGGGGACAAGAGACGTCCCATAAAATAAAGGTAATAAGGATGAAAAAAAAAAAAAAAAAAAAAAAAAAATAATAATAATAATTTGAGAAATACAAGTTTAAACAAATAAAAATCATAATGACAATTTATGTAAATATACCTCATCTTCCGGCAAGCACGGTTAACAAAAACTAAGGTGAAGTGAACTTAATGTAATGCGAGCCATTTGATTATTCAGTCCGACAAGTCCCTCTCTGTCTTATTTGGCCTTTGAGGCTCAATTTGTCCGATTATCATACATAATTAAACCCCTTAAGACCAAACATATGTGATGACTATGGCGAAGGCGCTTTCGATTATATTCCTGCTAGAACATTATAATGTTTCTAGTTTTGGCGGGAAGCATTCTGGAATCCACCAGAATTTGAAATGTGTATAAATATTGGTGGAATATTAGTCAGTTAGTCGTATACAAACTGTTGTGAAGATAAATAGTGAACAATTTAAAGACATTCGAAATATAAATAAATTAGAGTAATATTATTTTAAAATAAATAAGTGTTCAAATAAATTATTAACAAATAACAGTTTAATGTCAGACAGCCAAGCGGCACTTAAGGCCATATCGAGTCAGAAAGTTACGTCGAGGCTGGTATGGGAATGCATCGAAGAACTAAGAACACTGGCAGACCGTAATAGAGTAAAACTATTTTGGGTGCCAGGTCACAAAGGGATCGAAGGCAACGAAAAGGCTGACGAACTTGCAAAAAGAGGGTCAGAAGAAACACCGGAACCAGACACAAACCCAGGAGTACCAAAAAGTACAGTCCGGGGTTTTATAAATGACTGGATTCGGGAACAACATATCAACTATTGGGGAAGCACCCCAAAACAGGCACATGGAAAAGCCTTCATAGGCAGACCATGTCCCAAAAGAACTGGAGAACTACTCTTAATGAATAGGAACCAGTTGAAAGTGATAACAGGGTTCATGACTGGCACGCCCCAGTAAAAGGACACTTGAACAAAATTGGCATGTACAATGGGGAACTCATGTGCCGACTATGTCACAAGAAACCAGAAACGGCCAAACACATACTGTGCGAATGGGAAGCTCTAGATCGCAAAAGACAGGCTCTTTTTGGACAACCCCAGGTTGATCCAACAACGTATAGAACCCACTCACCCAAGGATCTGTACAAACTTGTACAAGGTACAAAGGTGATAGAGTGGGTGCTATGAACTAACATGGGGTAAAACACAATAAGCCAATAGGCTTCAGTGTTATTCGGAGACACATAGTCAGACGAGCCCAGGAGAGAAAAAAAAACTGACTAATAATCCACCAATATTTACACACATTTAAAATTCTGGTAGATTCCAGAATGCTCCCCGCCAAAACTAGAAACATTATAATGTTCTATCAGAAATGTAATCGAAAGCGCCTTCGCCATAGTGGTCACATATGTTTGGTCTTAAGGGGTTTAATTATGTATGATAATCAGACAAGTTGAGCCTCAAAGGCCAAAAACTTTTAAAAAAAAATCAAAAATTAAGCACTTTTAATAAGAACTTGTATTTCAAAAACAAAAATTTGACTAATAACAGACTGTTATACAATTGTTTATTACCATTCGACTGCTGCAACTGTTGATTGTCCTGATAATCAGCGTGAACGGTTTGTTGCTGTTGTTCCGGTTGCCACGTTTGTTGTTGAATATTTTGTTGCTGGTATTGCTGTTGTTGCCAAACGTCCTGAGCGCTGTTATCGTAAACCGGTTGCGGTTGATCAGCTTCGTAACCCTCTGTCGGGTAAGTCTGCAAATTCGGGACGCTTTGGTGCAAAATTGATCCATCCTAAAACGCAACACGAACAAGTAACATAAGCGCAAATCTGTATCGTTCGAAAAATCTTACTCGGAAACCGTTTTGAATGCTTTTCAGGACTTTTAACCAAGAACTATCGGGTCCTCCGAATTCTGATTCGTCCTCAGCTTCGCCGACGAGATCGAGATCGTAAAATTTCAGTCTGTCCGCCAGATTGTATACGTTATCCACCAACGAAGATTGAACTAGCTTGGGATACGCTATTATGAACGTTGAAATTTTTTCTAAATATGCTAAGGATTTCTCAACGAGACCTCGATCAACGAGTCTAGTCGCCAAAAGGTATTCGTATACCTAAAAAATGCGTCGTTAAAATGATGTTTTGAGGATGACATTAACGCAATAATAATAGAGGTGAAAAGCAAATTTTATTGCAAATACTTTTTTATTAAAAAAAAAAAATCGATATTTTGAGAAAGTCTGTAATGTATCAGTTCAATCAAGTGACTGACCCGGTAATAAGTGTAAGTTAATGTTTAGTTGGTACACACAATTGTCATCAAGGATTTTGTGAAGGACCGTACAGGTATCCAACGCCCTGTCAAAAAAAATTTAATATGGCAGCAGTGTTGCCAGGTCTTCATGGTGTGGACTACCCCTCCCTCTACAGCAAAGCTGTCAATATCTATGGCTTAAACTTTTATTTTATTATTTATTAGTTTGTAAAATTTTAAATAGAAATTGTTATAATAGTAATATTAATACAATTATCATAAACTCAATTTACTGCTTGCATGGGGCGACATATCTATTGCAGCAACCACACCGAGTTCTATTTTTTGCAGATGAGGTTTCGACATTTTGGCTTCGGTCGGTGAATCCCCTAGGAAACGTCGGAAAAACAGTAAATAGTGACTACCCAAGACTCGACACGCACGCAGCTCGACTTTCAAATTGTTTTCATAATATTTCTGATTTCTGGTTGTTTGACTTATTTATTTTATTAAATCTCATTTTACCTTGTTTTACCTCAATCCTCTGCAGAAATAAAATTTTCACAAATTAATTTATTCAAAATAAAACACTGAAACTGATCAACTAATAGTATCGTTGGTCTAATATGCATTCAGAAGAATACATAGGCCTAACAGCGAATTCTTTAATTTACAAATTGACCCTACACTTGTCATATAATAATAATATGTACAAAAAATCCAATAACTTTAAAACTGAGTTTGAAAAAATTTTGGCTTTATGTCAGATGATTATTTTTATTTTTTGCAATATTTATGTACCATATTTTATTTGTCAGGTAAAACATAGGTACGACCGGATATAGGCATTTTCGTTTTTATTTTATGTAAATCAGTTATTACAATAATAAAACAAGCATATTTTTTATGTTAATTTTTGCTTTTCCAAAAATAATTATAAATTGTTCTTTTTTGTTTTAATTTTACCTACCTACCTAATTACCTAACTATAATCGCAAAACAGCAATTTTGAAACATCTACAGTTTTATTTTTAAATCTACCACTTTTTTTTATGACAATTCTACCGCTTATGTTGATCTTGACCTGGCAACACTGTATGGCAAACAACACAAATATATATGTGGTCACGTTGGATAACACTTACTATTTTGTGCCAAACAAAGTTTTTTAGGTAAGGTTTCATCAGTGTTCGACTGTCTTTATTATAAATCAGGGACAATTTGCTTTATGAGTTTTAGATTTGTTGATAATTGATGATAATTTAAAGGATCCTACGTTAATTTATTAATTTGTCAAGAGTTTGCTAATCGTTCACCATTTTAAGTCACTTTATTTGGATTACCTAGGATCTCCAAGATTTCGTAATGAATTTGAGGTTGTTTTATTTTTTTATGAAAAATGAATCAAGGATTTCTAAAAGTTGATTGAAATAGTCTTTTTGATGTAGATTAACTCTGTGATCGGCGCTTAAAAGAGCAAAAGTAGAACTTTTGGGAAAATAGGATTCTTGATTTGTAGCTTCTTTTGATTTGTTAAAAAATCCACTTCAAAATACAAAACTCAAATGCCGCAGGACCTCCCTATTTAAAAAACGAAATAGTGACTCAAAATCTGCTGCAAGTTATCATATTTATAATTTGATGTCGACAAAAATCCCTTAAGCTGGTGTGTAATGGGTTTCAACTACACGATGTAAATTTATCTCCAAAATTACCAAAAAATTTCCCAAAATCTCTAAACCCGAACTATATTTGAGGAAAAATCTAAAAAATCCCTACATGGGAAGACTTGATGGTCACATACATTTAAGAGTTTTCCTTCAATGACAACCAAAAGATATTTTGCTTCTTTTCAACAGTTAAAAAGCAAGAAGCTCCACGCTTTATGTCTACCCTTGATTTGATAAGGCAAAGTGTGTTCAGAAAAGCATCCATGTACCAAAATGTCTTAGGGACCATCTACGACAGACTTTAATTAAAATGCTACCCGTGGGTAATGATATGGCAACCTTGTGAGCCTGTTGTATTTGACAGGATCAATGGTACATATAGTTATATATATAGCGAGTCATTTTTGAGCGGCCATATTGCTTTGCAAGTGCTCATTAATAAGAATCGATTTAGCAAAAAATGTTTTAAAACCAATTTTTAGCCTTTGAATATAGTTTACCTACACTTTTACTTCAAGGCATAATCTTATGTTTATTTTGAAAAACATGGAAGATCCATCTATATCATTAACCCTGCCAAATCACCATATCATAACCTGTCATTACCGATTGGTGGCCATTTTTTTAGAATGCCTAATTCGTAGAGTTTGAAAGCAATAACAATTAATTAAAATAAACATGATTAATTATTCTCAGAAGAGAACACAGCTTCGCTATTTCATCATTAGGAATTAATTTTCTTGAGGTAAGAAACAAAACATACAATCAAACCCGTAAGATACATTGAGTTTTTAAGTGAATTTATAAAAATGCAGAAACAAGCTAGTTTGAGCCAAAAATACATAAATTAAAAAGGAACATCCAGTCAACTACTGTACAACTTAGGTACTATGAATAAATTACATATTCCCGTCTATTGATAATAAAAATTACATTTGCAAGACAGAGAAAGTTGCCAATACATGCTGCTACTTTTCAATAAATAATCTAAAACCTTAAAACATCACTGAAGAACGTTTTATTCTTTTTCATTCATTTTAGACAAGGTAAGTTGAATTTAAAATCAAGTATTTCGTACTGCCAATTATGCACGTTACATCTGTAAGTCAATTTGATTAGAAACATTTTAAAATTACTTATTAATTTGGCACAATGATATTTGTAAACTTTCACGATTCATTCCCCATGATGTCAAAGTTTGTACATTGCCCTTTTAAGCACCGACCACAGAATTAATTGTAACATAATATACGAAAAATATGGACTACACATACAATTTAAACAGTAGATGGTGCTTAAAACAAAGGACCAACGATAACAAAATAATAAAGTGGTGCAAGCAGTAGATCTTTAGTTTATATTTTTAAAAATAATATAAAATTAAAATAAATCAATTTAAAATGTTATTCATTTCGATTAGATGTTTTTTACCTGGAAATGAGGAATGACGAACGCGGAGTCATTTAATCCGCAAGCGAATTCGTAAATTTCCGTCATGTGAATAGCTTCGTTTGTAGCAAAAGAATTGTAAGGTTTGGAATGATCAGCACCTAACAGTACCAAACGGGTCTCTGGATCGTCGTATTTTCCAAAACCGACCTATGAATAAAATATTATTAACAGCGTAATTTTAGTACAAACGTTGATATAAACAAATATTAAATAAGGAACTTACCTCTGCCATTAAATAACAAAACTGAGCTGCATACAGACTCCCTCTGTGCCTCAAAGTGTCTCCTAATGTTGTGATCGCTTTGCAGTTTAATTCCGGACGTTGCGAGGAATTCGATAAAATCATAGCTAGATGAGGTCTCCAATCTCCCCATTTTTCCTCAGAAACGCACTAAAAAAGTTTGTATAGTAACTATTGGACATAGGTTTACTATTTTGCCATATTCATAGCAAATCCAGGGTCCAGTTAAGTAAAAACCAACAATTTGAGATAAGTAAAACATTTTTAGGGCAACTATTTGCTCAAAGCCCACTTCGAAACCTACAATATATCGTCATAGATCGCCGTTAATATTGAAACAGTAGGAACACGTATATTTGATGTCAAGTTAACTGGACGCTGGCTGTCATTAGAAATTCTTGCGTCCAGTAAACTGGAAGTGGGCACTGAATCTGTTAGCAAATATTTTGCAACTTCTTAAAAATAATACTTACAGTAACCGCAGCAGGCATTTTTCCAGACAAAAGTTGATAAAGTGTTTGTAATGGATCGTTCATTGTTAATCCGTTTGCAAATCGCATCATAACATTAGCGTAAGTTCTTTTATCTAATTTGCTAGCTAAAAATAGTGCGTGTCCCCATAGACTGTGTTTCATTGCCCATTCTGAAAATAAAAAAAAAAATATATTTCATCTCAAATATTGATAATTGTTCTGTCGATGTAATAAAATAAATCGAAATGTACCTAATGCTTCTTTTCCAGATCCGTACAGTAAATATTCCCTAAATTTGTTTGTGATTTCTTCTTCCTTTAACACCGAATGCAAGCTTCCTGTATTATCGGAAATTACATTATTACTAGCTTCCGATAAAAGATTGACATCTCCGTTGTTACTGCTGATGCTGGAAATCACAGAAGACGGCCTCGCAGGAGGCAATTCTCTTCTGTTCTTCAGTAGAAGTTCGGCTATGTCGGCGCCAACTACCATCTAGAAAATTGTTTATTTGGTTTATAAATTCCCAACTACAGCAGTTATAAAAATAACTCACCCCATTTTGCCGAATCAATAAAATCAGTAACTCCCACATCAAAATATACGACTCGACATCCGAAATTCGGCGCTCTGCAATGGCATCCCTGATTTTGTTTTCGCAATATTCGATGATGGTCTTCTTGTGAGTCACCCCCTTTACCAAAGGTCCCGGAAATTGACTCAGTTCCTTAATATCTTCGTCGTTGCCCAGAAACGAGTGAGTATTGCAGATTTCCACAATCGCCGGTTGTCCGTCCATGGGGTAGTGAGGCAGAATGCGCAGTAACTTTCCGGAACCAATGGAAGCTTTGACGTGGGCTAGTGCGAATTTTGCAGGAGTGAGTCGTTGTGAAGCTAAAGTAGTATCTTCTAGATTAAGGGACGAGTCCGTTTGGTCAAACGGACGAGAGTAGCTACAATTATTGATAAATTAATAAGTTTTTAAGTTTGGTATATTTTTACGATTGTTAAATTTAAATACTTTGCTAATATACATACATACAATTTTTTAAAGACACTTTACAGTTCACAATGTTCATTGCTTGCAAGTAAAATTGCGGCAATTCGTATTGCACCTCTGCGCACTAACGTATTTGAAATTGTTCTCGAGTAAATATTCATTAATTTTTTTACAAGTACTAGTTACAATAATTAAATATGTTGGACACCACCGAACTTAATATTAAAAATATCACAATCGGAAAAAATTTTTGGCAAAGTCGATCAATACAAGCGTTCTGTCCATAGTTGGTTAGATGCCCTCTTACTTAAAATAGGGAGGTGTGTCGTGTCCGCCTGGTAGGCACCAGAAAGTTGATTTGCTTTAACAGGAATCGCAACACATCGTCCCATTCAACAGCTTAAAAAGGAATAGAAGAATAGATTGTTTCCTTTTATCTTTTAGGATGTGTAGACCACAAAGCATTATTCTCGTTTCATAGCAGATATCGGGATATGGAAACCAACTTGAGCTGGACCCTTTCTATCCTATTTATGTGGCACGTGTAATTGGGTGGCCAGATTACAGAACAGTGTTCTAGAATGCTTCTGACTAAACAGTTGTATAGATATGTAATAGTCTTGGTGCCGTTTATGTGATGTGAGTGGCGTTTAATAAAACCAAGCATTCTAAAAGCTTTACACACATTAGAGTCGATATGCAGGTTAAAGGATAAACTTGTGTCAAAGATGATGCCGAGATCGTTTACTGAAGAGGAATTTTTTAATGTCACATTATCGACCTTGTAAGACTTCAGACTAGGGTTGGGAGATCTTGTGAAGTGGACTGTAGCACATTTATTGACATTTAGGGACAAATGGTTTAGTTTGCACCACATGGTGAAGCGATCAAGATCCGATTGTAAAGCTATCACTAGTCTTTATGCTAAAAAACTTAAGATCGTCTGCAAATAACAGGCAGTCACTGTTTTGAAAACAATCTATTGCATCGTCCAGAAACAATAAAAATAGGACAGGGCCAATATGAGATCCTTGTGGAACACCTGATGTGTCACTAATACTTCACTAAAGACCGAGTTTAGCACAGCACGCTGAGAGCGATGACTTAAGTAAGAGTTGAACCAATTAAAGTAATTATACAAAATACCAATGTCTGCTAGTTTTTTAAGAAGCAGTTCATGGCAAACACTGTCAAAAGCTTTAGACAAGTCTGAGATGAGAGTAAGTACTCTTAATACACGCCGAAATTTGTTGCATTTAAGCGTCCTTGATAGAACCCATGTTGAGATGAAGAAATGTATTTTTTATATGTGGCAAATACCTCGTCAGTCAGGACGAATTTCGAATAATTTAGGTATCGTAGAGATTATAGAGATGCCTTAATAATTTTTTATGACAGTTTTGTCTTCCGTCTTGTAAATTGGCACCAAGTTAGAGAATTTCCAAATAGTAGGAAATGTTTCAATGTAGAACGATTTTTGAAAAATTTTTGGCTGCATCTAGACTTAATTTTGGATGACACTTTTTCTACTGTAAATGTGTAAAGAGATAGAGTCAATGAAAATGGCACTGATGGAACTGAAGTAAAATCGGTATTGTCTTTTTTATGTAGCACGTTTGAAAAAGATTTGCGAAAGAATTGGCTATATCTGAGGGGTCACTTAGTTCAAGATTGTTGTATTTCATTAGGTTAGGTAGACCAGATTATCTTTAAAGGTTTTTAATGAATGACCAAAAGTAGTTTACATTCTCAGGCATCAGTTGTTCAGTTTGTTATGAATGTTAAATAACACAGATCTGTATTTGACTTCACGTCGTTTGTCGGAGTAAGTTAAGTAACCTGCGTGTATCGGTGTCCTTTTAAATTTTTGGTAGTTTGTTTTGCTCCGATATGAGTTTTCCAAGTGTGTCGTCGAACCAAACAAGATATTTGCTGTTTCTAATACGTTTTCTGGGTACGAATTTGGCAATACCCTTTACAATAATATTGTGAATGCGTTTGTTCACTAACATTAACGTTTTCGCAGCTTGGTATTAAAGAACAGTTGGTTTCTGCAAAAAATATAATTAGCTCCACAAAGTATGCTTTATGAAACTGATATTCAAAAACAGTTTTGTTGTCACGAAGAACGCATGTTTTTTACGTGAGAAAAAAATAGAAAAAGGGGGATGTTACAGATTAGTTTTTGACAGAGGAAAGGCAAATTATGTCTATAATAGCTGCAGCAGACGCAGGTTGTATATTAGTAGGTACAACTATGTCACATTCGAGACTCCATTCAACATGTGGAAGATTGAAATCCCCACAAATGATGAACTGCTGCAATTTTACTTATTGCGAATTGTAAAGTAGCTCTTAAATTTAAATACTTTGCTAATATACATATATACAATGTTTTAGAATTAAATTTACATACAGGGTGGCCACTTTTTTTTTAGGAAACAGTTTATTTTAATTATTGACGTTCATATGGAGTTCATATTTTTTATTGAAAATTATGTATCTAATAATAATTAGTCAAAATAATGTTAAATGGTGTGCCAATTTATTACAAATGCCTTCAGGGAATGGCAATTTGTGGAAACAAAAATTTACTAGAATTTATAAAAATTTGGAAATTATAATTGTTAGTGAAAAATGTCATAACGGACAATTTAAAAACTTACAATGGCTATATCTGAACTAAAGATGCTAGAATATGAAGGGAAATTTTAAATGACAAAATATCGAAGTCACTCCCATCAGTCCCTACATCATTGGAAAGCTAGTAAAAATTGCTTTTCAACGATATAATTTTTACAGGGTGGTTTAAAAGTAAATAATAAATAAAAACCTCTTCTACCCCAATTATTATTGTGATATTATTTTTTTAAATGATTTTTATTGTACCAGACAACTGATTGAGCATGATTTGACATCGGATATTCGCGCTAGGTCATTGGCAGTCAATTTTGGGACACCCTGTACATCAAATTATTTTTATTTACTAAATTTAAAGATTTCTGTGAAATATATGTAACCTACTCATGGAAATGTAAGCACTTCCATAAGTAGGAATCAAGAAATGTCATGAGATATTTCACTTGTCAATCTAAAATGAGTCACCTTGAATACGTTATATTAGTGTGACATAATTTGTGTTCCATTAACATTTAACAGAAAACCATATTGCATTATTGAATTTAATATAGGTATATGTTTTAGGTTTTTGTTTTTTCATATTGTTTGCAGGTTAGTCCAGTAACTGAAGGGACCAACCTGTCATTAAGTCGGTCCAGATTTCCGTTGTGGCTCAACTCTTAGGTCTCGGCGGTCGCTTCCGAGGTCGAAAACTTTTACCAACTCTGCTGCGTCGGAAAGGGCCCAAAATGGACCCTAAAACTGGTTTCCCGCCAATATCTTCCACAATATGCAAATTAGAGAATTTTTGTTTAGATAAAAAAGAAAGATCTTATCATTATCTACAAAAATGGTCCCTATCATTTTTGTCGGCAATTCGACAGGTTTCGAGATAACCAAAATCAAAAGTCCCCTCGTTCAGCCCCTGCTTTATCTCTATAGCAATGCTGATTAGCTTGTAAACTGGTGGACAAATTGTTTCAGAACTCGGTCAAAAATTGATATTTTTCGATGATTCAAAGTTCATTACAATGGGAAAGCCCATAGGTATCGATCCATGTGCCTTGAAGCCCGTTATTTCCTGTCAAGAACATTGAAAAAGGGGTAAAAGTTGCGTTTTCCCACTATTTTGGACCACTTTATAGTAATTCATTCATATTTTTTTCTTTTAATAGTTTTTATCCCATTTTTGTTTTAAATGGGATCTTGAGATGTCTCGAATGATCTCAGAAATTTTTTTCCAGTATCTTCCTGGCGTTTTAAAACAAAATTGATTTGTTTATTTGCATTTTTCATACGTTTTCGGAGTTCTAGAAATCTTTGAAACAAGCAGCCTCTTCTACTTATCTGTATACTCTTTAGCTGTACAGTAGACTAGAAGAGCACTACTTAAGTCAAATTGTATACATTTATTCAACTACTTGGTAAAGGCTGAACCTAAAGCTGAAAAAAAACCCCTATTGAAGTCTTAAAGTACGCCACTCATTAGCAATTAGAAATAAGTTTATTATTAGGCTGTAAAAGTTTTGTCATAGCATATTTTTTTTACTATTGTTCAGTAGTTGAAAATTACCTGTCCATTGTCCTGATACAGCGTTGAAACAGTACGCTTATACAGGGTGTTGCATTAAGAATTGGACATAGAAAAACTGAAGACTCTCTGACTAAAAATAAGATGATTGAACAAAACATATTTGAGTAAAATGTCACTCGTTTCCGAAATAAAAGGCATTTAAGTATTCAGTAAAATTGTATAAAATTCGGCAACCGTTTTTGGTTTCATAAGATACCCCTATCAGCACAAAAATCAGTTAAATAAACTTTGCCAGTGGCGTACGGCATGGGTAAGTATAAGTAACACCTTGAACCCTCATAAATTTAGCCCCACTGTTCAAAAACTTATTTAGACTATAATTTTAAATTGTTTAAAAAAAAAATACTCTGTATAAAAGTGGAAAAACCGCTATTTTGTCTACAAAGTTGCTGTACAATAACAGCTACCCAAGCTATTCACAAGCAGTAGCATTTCTTTTGTCTACTTTAAACAGTTATAGGCTGATTATCTTCTTTTTTTAGCTGTTTATACTAATGAAAAAATGCTTATACATGCAATTAGACTTCTATTATTCAACCTGATGGCTGAAAATGTAGCTGATGTAGCGCTATCATAACATTTAACCCATTTAAAGAGTTTGTTGGTGAAACACAAATTACGTCATCACTAATATAGGGTATTGGTAAGTAGTATAATCAAGCCCGTGCTTTAATTAGTTAAGAACATAACACCCTGAACCCCTTTTCTATTATTAAGTTTATAATCTTAGTAAGTACTAC